ATTTGGCAAAAAACAGTCAATTCTGCCAGCACTGTACATGTAACGAATATTCTCATTTGTAATTAAAACCAACCTGGCAGATAACTTGACGTCTTCAAAGAAGAGTAAACTTGAGTTCATGTATACTTCCTGAGGTTGTACTGTACAGTAGTAAAAAGGAACCAAGGCTTTCACAAAGAGTGGTCAGGGTGGATAACAGTTTGAAACATTTGTAGCTTGAGTTCATGCTGACCAGTGGATTCTGTAATTATGCAAATACGGTATGCTCACTCTTCGGGCAGCGTCCCTGACAGAATCGATGATGAGGACAATGATGAAAAACTGCCTCAGGTCAAGCCTTGACTTGATGAGGCCAACCTTTACCCCCTCCGACCAGGAAAAACAGTCTCTTTGATTTGTTTCCCTTGCTGCAAAGCGACTGATGCCCTCGGGGTACTGACGGTTATGAATGCCGGGGGATCGGGGGCAGTAGGTGCACGTGTGTGATGAGTTGCCCGAGCCGTACGCTAGTGCTCGGTCACACGTAGCCAGTGCTGTTCCAGTGAAATACTAGACTCCTAATGCAGTCCAGTGAGGAGCAGTGGTGTATCCAGTGGGGGGAAGCCCCCCCCCTTTACTTTTATTAATATTTGCCCATAGACTTTGCACACGTCTTTTCCTCCATAGACTTTGCACATAGATTTTAAGGTTTATTTTTCCAACTTAGCAATATTATATACGCATGGAACTTACACTGAAGGAAGATCGTGAAGCAAAGAGGGGTCTCAGAACTAGTTCAATGTTGTAACGATATATCATGTGACATGTCACGTGACATTAAAGGTGCAATCTTTAAAGTACTATAACTTCTAAAGTACATGTCCAATTGTGTTGAAACTTTGTATATAGCTTTAGGATTTAACAATTTTATAAGGAAACTAGAGGTGGTGTTTGTGAACAAACACAGGCTGTTTCGGAGTTTGCTGTTTTACAGAAACTGTAAATGATATTCTACATTTGTTCAAATGCTACTAAACGTGTACTTCAGGAGATAAAGAACTTTAAAGATGGTACCTATCGTGTCACGTGACATGTCACTCGATATCATCACCATCACATCAGGTCAACAGTCCTCTAAAACACTTCGTCCTGAAGTTATATGCAAGGTTTCAACCCCATTGGATTGTATTTCAAGGTCACTTTTCCTCTAGAACACTTTGCTTTATATTCCATGTACTGTTTACTGTTCTGCAAAAGCATCAGCTGCAACTTGACCACTGCCCCTTTAATAGTGAAGAGGATAATCATTAAAATTAAGGTTCATTAATAAACATTAGCATTCAGTAGATAGTTTCACTGAAGAGAATTACTCGACCAAACAAAAAAACCCAGAAAATTATATCTTAAAGAAATCTGATAACGCAAACTTAATAATAAATTCATGAGGTAAATAAGAAACGTCTCATTTTACAAGCAACAAAAGTGAAAAGTACAAGATTCCTAGCAGACGTAAACTAGTTCTCTGAACGCCCATCTAACAAAGCAGTCAAGCCGCGTTGTTTCCCTTGAACAGAGGAGAAATATGAGCTGAAAATTCCAAACGTTGGCAAGTCATTGAATTTAATGAATACGAGTATGTTGAGTAGCCAATTTCTCCACCTCCAGCCATTCAAGAATGAGATTCACTTTTGTCAATAAAAAAAGAAAGAAAGAAAAAACAGTGACACTTGAGACCCAATGATGCTTTGGAGAAGTTCCCCCGCAGTGTCCTGCCAAAATGTCATCCAAGGCCGTTGCCATTGTGCCCCATCTTATAGGCGCGCGCGCGCACTGGTAGCAACAAGTAGCTTGGGATTAGATTTCTATCTTCAGAGATCAAACTGAAGATTCCAGTGGGCACGTTGGGCCAAAATGAAGATTCGAGGATAGAGTAGACACCTGCCTTTGTCCATGACTCAAGCATGTGGCATTTGACCCAAATGGTTGAGGAACAAGGATATGACGTCGTATTTGTTTGGTGATCAATGCAGATACGCACTGCACATAATTGTGACCTGTTCTGTAAAAAAGGGTATTAAGGGACGCTGTGCCATTTCACACTAAAGGCTGTTCTATGTAGAGAGGGTGAAAAACAGTATTAAACATGTGATTTTTTTGTTACTTCTTGGTTTAATGGCTTCTATTACATCAATACTTTCATAGTTTATTTCCAGAAATATTATTATTGATGAATAAAGATGATAACAAAAACCTTTGTGTGTCCATTTTGTTCGTCTGTTTTTGACTCTTTGGCAGTTTTGGGGGAAGAAAAACCCCCAACATTACGCCTTCAGAGTATATCTCCAGATTGCAAAATGCCACAGGGTTCACTCCTACACCAAATTAAAGCTTTATAATGTAACTAATTCAAATGTGCATGTAACTCATTTTGAAAAAAAAAAAAAGTCCCATAATACCCATTTTTGTGGAGCTGGTCACATCTATACGGCATCACTACCAGAGTGCAGCTGCTCTTTAGTGCCACTATTTCAATAGGCCCTCTACTTTCATCCCTTATGAACTCCCCAGGAGAGTGCACGTTGACATGATTTTCCTGCGCCTGTAGTCATGTTTCTTCCAGGCACCTCACCGTATCTTCCTGGGAAGTTGTACTGACAAATGACATGTGCTGTACATGCACTTAGTGCCCTAGTACCTAAGTGACACTGTACTTGTTGAGGGCACAGTTGCTTTCGCTAGGAAAATCTGGATGTGCGTGTACGCTGTAGGAATTTTGATGTGTAGACCCCAAGATATTCTTGGTCTCCACCAAAGATTGTATAGCGCCGCGTGGCAGTGCAAGATGGGGAACTTCACCATGAATACGCGTAAAACGTTGTTATCACATGAGCGCCATTCTGGTTGGACAACGCCTGCGCAGTGCCTGTTAATGCACAGGCGCAGGCGCCGCGACAGGCACGCACACACATTAACGTTCACACTCGAATGGCGCCCATGGTGATAACACCTTTATGGCTGAATTACCCATCTTGCGGCGCTATGTAATCTTAGGTCTCCACAGTCAACTGGTGTGTGGTCCCCACAAGTACAAGACAATATAGGTTGTCCAAGTGCAAATTAACATGCGTGTTTCACCTGTGTTTATGCCCTTCACATTTTGGTCCTTGTGTATACATTTGAATGGCTGTGAGGAAAGCTTATTACTTGCGATCATGGGCTGCGCTCCAAGCAGAATTGTCTGAGCAAACAACGGCTTCTCATTACACGTCCCATTTGACATTTTCACAACATGGGACAGACTGTACATGCAGGTACATGTAGGCGTTTGTACTGCAGAAGACTCTCCCCTATATTGTGAGCTCTCTGCGTACAAGAATGTTGTACACGGGTGTGTAGTTGAGTCCTTGTCAAATATAATTTCCAAGAGGACTCATCAGACTTGCATGCAAGTTGGACATTGAGTCTTGCTCCTGCAATATCTGAATCTCTGTTGCATTCATACCCACCCATATTATTTTCTCATCTCAAGCTGGGTATTGAGCTTGGTAAACATATGTATACTCATTTTATACCACTTTGTTATATCACTTGAATGTTAAGAAAATTGTCCAATATCACCTTTTGAATGGGGGTTATGCAATACTTTTGTAATACAGCACGTGATTCCTTTCTTGAGCGCAAGGAGTCAAGGCAAGAGTAAAATTTAAGAATGCACAGAAGACTGAAAATGTCCCAGCCGTACCCCCCTTTGAGGGGTCACCTTTTTGGGGGTTAGAAAATTTGGCGCTGAGTTATGTAACATTGAAATTTACCCCCACTGTAGATGTCATTCCCCTTGTTGAATTTGCAGCCTCAGATAATGTCTTCATCTTGTGTAATGAACGTACGGTATTTGGGAACGACATAAAAGAAGTCCAAAATAGCCAGTAAGAGATCAAGGCATTGGGCTTCAACAAGTATTCTGTGTTCAAAAAAGGGTAAAACACGGCATCACGGTTGCAAAACTTTTTCCAAGTCAAGAAGAAAAAGGTAAATTAAGAAAAAAATGTGACAAAGAAAAACGAGGTTTCTGTAAAAAGCAAACAAACAAATGCAACAGGATGATGAAAGCGTATTTTAATCGGGTGTTTGGTACAAAACAGGATAAAAACACGTTTTCAACAGAAATTCATTTAAAACAGGAGTACATGTGCAGTCCCCTCAACTACAGTGTCAGTAGACATGGTCAGGCAAGCCCTGTTATTGGTGTTGTATTTTGAAAATTTCCCATTTAAGCTTTTGATGTAATCAGTGTTGTCCAGGTAGTATACTGTAACTTGTTTCAGGTTTACATTTTGCAGGACTATTTACCGCAGCCTAGCCGGGGGGGGGGGTAAACACCTCTTTAAAATCTTGGCCACCCAGCTGCCTTTGCTCACTAGAATTTGTCAAACGAAGGAAAAATAAATGGCAAATACCCAAATATGAGTTTAGTATAGAAAAGAAGCTGTGATGCTGGAACATGAGTTTTCATTGCTTCATTGAAATGTTTTGAGTTCTTTGCATTAAATTGTTACATTGATGCGCACTGACTCCGAAAACTACTACATTTGCCTACCTTGAATAAGGTAATGTTCAGTACTCGGGGTTCCCATGGTGATGGATACTCATGAAAAAATCCTGGAAAAAGTTATCCCAGAGAGTCATGAAAAAGTTGTGGAAATCAAGATCCTGCAAGGGTTATTTTTGATGGGTTGCTTTTGAAACAATGAGAAATTTACTGGCTATTCTTGTCATTCTACAGTTCTGGATATGACATTCTTCCAGTTCATGATACCCAAAAAACGTTCAGCACAAAATGTCATTAAATGCCGTGAAAATTATATTTAATTCCTGGAAAGTGATGGAAAAGCTATGGAATTTCAGATTTCTTTTGGGTTCCTGATTACTGAAATAAAGGAATTTTAGTGGTTTGGAAAATGTAGCTCACACAGTGGAGAACCTGCAGTTACACATTGTTTTTTGTTTTCTTTTTCTTTCAGATACTGGATTGTTCATTTCCCTATGCACTTTGACCTGGACCAGGGTCTGTCTGATATCATGGGCCAGCTACAGAGCATTATTCAGGCAGAAGGCAACAGCCACCTCAAGCATGTGATAGATACCTCTAATGTGTGAGTACACACAACATCTTTTTTTTTTTTTTTTTTTCCATTTCATTGGACATGACATTAAAGACTGGACAGTCTCGGGCGTTCTTTTAAGCTGAGGCTGGACTGATTGAATTACTTAGGCCACTCTTTTTATTTGTCAATTTAATTCAATCTGCCTGCAAATTAATTTTCACCAAACTGATAGGAGAGCAATTCTGCATTTCTCAACAAATTTTTTCCTGCTTGTTGCTGGTTCCTTATCGATCTGGCTGAACTTGATTGTGACGTAAGTTTTATTTTTATTCTGTGTTCAGACATTGCGTCCTTTTATAAGAAAAGGATGATCTCATTTCTAAGATTCTCATGTTTAATTGTTAAGACAAAAAAAAAATAAAATCAGGGTTTTTTCCAAACATCATTATTAAAGTGCATTCTAGTTAGTCACTCTGAACTCTCACTGTGTGGATAACCAGGGGCCTGATTGAAGTAAACCTCGTATGCAAATACTCTCCCGTGTTTGTACAGTGCCAGTCATTGGCTATTGCTTGCACTTGCCCTCACTCCCAAACCCCCCCCCCTCCCCATCCATGGAGTGCATGCAAAAGGCACGTACAATTGCTGTGACTTCAACAGCACTCTGCACAGAGGGAGAGAAGTCACCCGTTGCACTCGCGGATACGCGCCAATTGCAGGTCGCGCCACGAGACGTCTGGTCCCCAGGGGATGTGGATCAGTGGATTGCAGCAACTCTAGATTGTCTTTAACCTAGATTTTAACACACACGCTCACACAGACACGAAACCACTCCCACCCACCCCTCCCTTCCCTATAATTTGCTAAGCGACGGTACCACAGTAAGATAGAGCTTGCCGTCGACTGTCTGTATGCCCCCGAACGAAAGAGCTCTTGGCATGTCTCATTTGCAATCCAGCTAGTCAGCAACTCTCCTCTCAGCTTTGTTTTAAAGGCACCCCAAGACCAGCTTGGTTCAGATTTAGCAGGAGCGCTTGCGGAGTTGCCAACCTTATGTGCTACTGTGTTTGGGCACCATATCCTAAAGCAATAAACACTCGTTCTGGGAAAGTCAAACATCTGTACACATATTTTGTTTTGTTTGTTTATTTATTACTGGTTTATTATGCCTTTGCTCGCCGCCAAAGACATTCACTTAAAAAGCTACCCAAAACAAAACGTTCTCTTATGAGAAGGTTTTGTTTTGTAAACAAGTATTCATAAAATCATATTATAAAATGTATTAACAACAGGTAAAACTGAAAGAAGCACTATAAAAGCTCTACATGGCAGCCATCTCCCCCAGTGAGAGCCTTTGTTCCATGGGGATACACATGAGACCTTTTGTGCTATCCCTCCATAATAAAAGCAGTGACTGGAAAGATGGCCGCCATGCAGAACCTCTATTAAACATAGTTTACAAACACTCTAACAGAACAAAACATGGGGCTTTTAACAGACTGGGGATGGCACAATAAAACATTATAAAATATGCATCAGTAAAATCAACCAAACTTAAGAAAATTTACGTATTGCTTTTATTCCCTAGTCGAGTAAGATATGGAACAGTGCTGTTCTTGTACATGTATCTGTTTGTTCTCCACACATGGATGGATAGGCAATTACTGTTTCTCAGTCCATGGTTAAGTGAGTTGGATCTAAACTCAGGAAACCAACCACTAAACTTGTCATCCTCGGCTGTATTTTTTTCCGCACGGATCCGGATCATGATCGGTGATCCGGCATTGGTTCACTGACACGAGAACCCACCTCATGGATAGTGCAAGCCAGCTTTGAGATCACTGACTGCAATCCAAATCTGTGTGAAACAAACAGGCTCCTCAAGTATAGTACACACAAATTTGCAACAGATGTCATGTCTTCTCTCGGCCAGAGTACAAATACCTGAAGCTTTTTATATTAATTGCCCCTAGCCAGCATATTTTGGGCCCAAAATGAGTGTACATGCTCTTCTCTGGACTAGTTCAAGAGCACAGTTCTGTTGTTGTGGAGGTCCAGATGCCCACATTGATACCTCCTACTTATTGGCCTGATAGAACCCTCGTAAATTGCAAGTAAATCATTTCAGGGTAGGGCAAAGTGCTTAAAGAAGTCAGAGCATATACATTTGCCTACTTGCTTTTGAAATCAAATCTCTCACCAGTTCATTCCATTTAGTATCTCTTTGAATGACAGGGCCCATTATTTTAAGTGAATTGCATCCTTGAATCGGTTGATCACACAGTTTGAGCTCTGTTAGTGGTGGCATTTTTTTTTTTTGCTTAAAGCATACTCTCATTACTGCACCTTTTTCCCCGGATTCAGCAGGAAATGATTATCATAAGAGCATTTTTCAGTTAAGGTCAAATCTTCCTGCTTTGTTGAGGGAGGGTGACGGTTTCAACGAGTGTCTTATCTTCAGCATACTTCCAACGCTGGGCAGAGATGTCTGCTGCTCCATCATTGATCCCATAGCAAGGAATGCTACTGAGCCCAGGCAGGTTTCCCGCGGGATGCCAGCCGTGATGGTGCGCCAGTCAGATGGTGTACCCGTTGTATCGCATGCATTGCTGATGTCCATGGAGGAAATCACAGATCCTCGATATCACGGATGAGCGAGTTCCAAAGTTGCTCACTTTGTTTTGTTGGTCACTTTCCCTTAACAAAAGATGACTCTGCTCAATGCAGCAGCAAGTACACTTACTTAAAGACTGGACCTGTTAACAGTCATTCTGCATAGTGTCCCTCCCTGTGTGTGCCCCAAAATGTGCCTTTAAACAGCAATTAATTATTGGTAATGGTAAAAAAAAATCTTGATATCAAAGGAAATTATGTCATACTTTTTTGACTCAAAACTAAAGAGGATATTCTTCTCTCAATGAATGATTTTAATATCCTAACTCTCGTGCCAAATGAGAAAAAAACATGCGTGTTTTTACAATATGATGTTTAAAAGGTACCAGAATATGGTGCATTGGTAAGGTTATGATGCCAAATGAATTTCCAGGAATATTTATATTCTTGTGCATTGTTATAAATGGAAAACATGTTTCAGTGAAAAAAAATAGAGAACTAAAAAAGATCTGATTTTATTGAAGGGTACTTTAAATCAGCATTTTTGTGAATAATCACTTGATTATAAGATCACAAGTACATCTAGTCAGGCTGGCACATTAAATGCAGGACTTGGCTCAGCGATCCCATGAGTATTTTCTACCGTTGGCCTCCCCCGTGCCCTGCAGCATAAAGCATCACCACTTGCAGACTGTTAATGAGAGGTCCGTTTCCATGCACCCATGGCTGTAGGTGAGGAACTTCATATGTACAACGAAGGCCGAACGTACTGTTGATGAGCCAGCGTTTGTCCCCGGGTTGTTGTACTTGGGTTTGCCTGCCAGAGCAATAATGCAGAGATTGAAACCTAGTCTGGTGCTGGGACTTGCTCCTCACATCAGAGCCAACTGGCAATTTAAACCTGCACGCTGAACCCTCGGCTTATTTGTAATTAAGCCGCAGCTGCATGGTAGCAGGCTGCCGCAGCCGGATTGCGTTGAAGCGTAGGTGTACATTTTGCATAAACACCGCATGCTGATTACACACGGTAATCGTCCTTAACCTGTCAGGTTTAATACAGTCAGCAGCAGTGAGTTCGTTTTCATCAACAAATTGCTTCTATTTAAATAAATAGACAGTGGGACCCTGGATTCTTCAGGTTGATTGGCGTTAATTTCCTCGTTGTTTGTTTTTCAAACGTTCAGTTGATTATTATTTTCCTATTACATGTACTACGTTATTACAATGAAACACATGTAGGGATTGCATATGACCATTAATTACAACAGTATGAAGGGCCAAGTTGGCATCCAGAAATAAATATATTTCCCCTCACGTATTATGGTATCATGCAGTTACGTGCAAACTTCTTGCCTACGTTTCCTGCATTAATCATCATCCCTCCCTTCACTGTTGGCTTGCTGCACAAAAAAAGAACACAATTCAAATGTGCCATCTTAATTTTTGCACAGAGAAAAACTCTTGCATAAATCTCTCACATCCTCGCCGCCTAAAACAACTGCCAAGCCCTTGTGCAAAGTAAAAAAGTAAATATGCATGTCAAAACGAATGTCACCCTTGTCCTATGATGCACTGCATAAATTGGCCCAAGAATGGTTCCCCATTGTACTAATTCTCTTAACACTCTGAAATTAGAATAGATACCAACAGCAATTGTCAGCAAACTAAAGTACACGTACATGTATATTATTGTAACATACTGTGTAGGATGGCTATCAAACTGTAGTATGCTCAGGACAGTTTTTGAAACGGCAGTATTATCCCAGTTGGGTCATTCTATAAATTGGAAGACTTCCAATTTTTTCATGTCCCTGTCACATCTGACCTGTGACTTTGTAAGTTCTGAACACATTCTCTAATTTCCAAGAGTGATGAATCAATGCAAATTACCTGCCAAACAAACAGAAATAGTTTGAATCAATTTCAGTGATATTTCCCTGTTAAATTACACAGGTCAGGTGTAACGGGCACAAAAATGTCACTCTGCTGGACCCTGAATTCATAAGAATGACCAATTATGCAGAGATGGTGCTCACTTTCCGAATACATGCCAGGTGTTTGTGATTAACCGTGACAGTCCTCAATCCTCTGCCTGTTGGAAGATTGGATTGGATTAATGACAGTATCCATAATGTTACAAAAATGTGTTTTAAAAACTCTGGACAGAGAGATTTTTGGAAAGTGTTGGTTGAATGACATTGACAGCTACCAGACCTGAAGACTCTCTCAAAATAGCTGGAATCTTTGGTCTGAGAACTACTTTTAAATTGGCCTCTGCAATTTTATTTCTCACTGCCCCATAAAGACACCAATGGAACATGGTCAAAGCTTTGTTTTTCCGATTTGAAATGACAGCTCTCCAAATCCAAAAAGAGAATAAAAAAAACAAACTCTTTGAACTCAACTACATGTATTATCATTGAATTGAAGAAGTAATTAATAAAATACATCTTTCAATTCCCCAACATTGTAGTCATTATGCAGCGGCCTATCCTGAGGCCGTGTCCAAAACGGGCTTCCGGGGCTACAGCTAGGTCTATTGTCTGCGCGTCTTCACGCATTTCCTTTGGAGCGAAGACCTAGACCTAGCTCTAGACAAGAGATTCGGATGCAGCCTGAGTTGCAGTGACAGCTTGACAGCTAGCAGATTCTGAAATGTTAGGACAGCCGGCAGGTTCCAAAATGTTATCAGTACACTCACTGTATACAGACAGAGAATGGCCCAGTAAAGTGTACTACACATGGGCATCAGAACTGTTACATGTACAATGCTGTTACATGTACAATGCTGTGACATGACAGTAATCTCTCAGTTAGCCCACTGTATTAAGAGTCACAATCATATTGTTACTATGATATTTTCCTGTAAAATTGCAGGGTGAATCTTGTCTTATTCTACCTTTCCTTCCATGGGCATCTCTGGGATTTGTTGGGCGGTGTCAATTTTCTGGGGTGGGCTAAAGCCGTAATCAGCAACAAACTGGTCAACCCGTGGAAGGGGGGTCAAGTTTTTTGGTTTGTTTTGATGAAGCATAGCAGTTATTTTCATCCCCAGTCATTCCCATCTTTTTCATTTCTGTTGCATTTTTGTTTTCTTTTTTATTTTATTTTTTTCTTTTTCAATTTTTTTGGGGGGATAAGCACCCTTTCCTTCTTTCTCTTCTTTCTTTGCTTCTCCATTGCCTCATTACTGCTACTGATGTCAAAGCACTCAAAGATGATGTCCCCTTTTTGTCATATTCTACCCTATAGACCAAGCTATGACTGGATGCGGGTCATCTCAGTGCGGAACCCGTCCATGCGGACCAATCGGAAGGTCTCGCTGGTCTTCAACCACCTGGAGCCACGGGAGCTGGCCAACCATCTCACATTCCTCGAGTACAAGATCTTCAGGCGACTCAACGTAAGTGGGAGGAGGGGTGGGGAAAGTGGCCAGAGCCAGTGGCGTAACAAAGGGGGGAGGGCCTGTGGGGCCATGGCTTTCCTGCTTAAGGCCTCCCTCCCGTGTGGCCTTTTGCTCAGAAATCAGAGAAGGAACAACTGTGGTGATAGTCCACCTCAGTCAGTGCTGTAACTGTGACCAATGGATGAGGGCTCCCCCTAGAAAATGAGGGCCCCCCTAGTGCCCCCCTGCAAAGTGTACCCCAGTTATGCCACTGGCCAGAGGAGACACATTTTGCTGATCTATCTGGTAACCCCTAGAGTTGTACTCATAACCTGGTAATTAGACGACTATGGGAATGGTTGTGTCCTTTCTCCTTAGCAAAAGGCCAAGCATGTACTTGCTGCCTTAGTTATCTTTAACAACTGGCCAAGTACACGTCTGTTTTCGTTAGTACTCTCACCGAATGCATAACAGAATAAACATTTCGCTCAGTTTGAAGTTCCACCTGTATTATTTATAAACCATAGGGAATAGCTAAAATGTTATAAGCCCCATTAATAACGAAAACTGTTACTAAGGAACAAAACCGGTAGTTTTCCATATAGCATGTTAATAAAAAGAGGATAAAGTGAATGACCTTGAAGTTGAGAGATTTTTGAAGTGATAAAAATGAAACTTTGCCGCAAAATGCACTTGTGACTGTCTGGTTGTTAATAGACAAGTAGCTATCTGCTAATAAAGGACGAAAAGTGTCCATCAGATGGAAAATCCCATACACAAATAGCAATGTTTCTTGATTCAACTAAAAATCACACTGTGCAAGCCAGATGAAAAAGTCATTTGAGTATAGAGGTTATTATGGGCAGTACCTTTCACACTAGTTATTAAAACATCCAGTTTTCACTGGGAGGGTTGAGCTGTCACCAAGGACCGAGCCCGAGGGAGCTGGACCCTCCCCCCAGGAAGCTGGCCCCCATCATAAAAAAGCATGAGCATAACAAATCTCAGGACATCCTCTAAATGAGCCATTGACATCAGATTTTGAATACATGAATATTCTGTGTACTATATATTTTGTTCTTGTGATGTGGCCCCCCCCCAGCCGATACGTTGGCCCCTTTAATGCCTGAAGCTGGCGACGGGGCTGAGAAGGGTGCTATGAAAGGGGGGGGGGCTGTTGGCAAAGGGGTTTCAATTGGGTCTGCTCTTTCTACGCCAGACTTGTAACTTTGCCTATATCAACATATGGCTGGCCGGTACAAAAGCAACAGAATCATTTGCTTCATGTGTTATAATCTCACAGCAACAGTTAAGTGTTGATCTCTTGCAGTACACAAGCTCATTTTTCCTCTGTAGCTGGAGACAAACACTCATCATTACACCAATGTTGTGGCAAGTGAAAACCTTGCAGGGGCAAAGAAGTGTATCCACAATGTGGGCTTCATTTGTTTAACAAAAGAAATTGCTCCCTTCACACGGTGAAGACCTCCCCATAGATGCTCCAATATTGCAAGGAACGGTATAGGTGGGATGAGGGTATATCACATTTCCTCTCCCATACTTCCCCTACCAGAAAGATTTTAAAATAAATTTCAAATTAGATTAAGAGATTTAAAAAGAAAATGCAGTTACCGTCTATTTACATTTGTAGTTTGCAGATCTGAAGAGTTACGCCCTGACAGGCCAACTGAAGGACAACTTGAAGTTGGAACGTTCAATTGGTCTGTTCAATGGCCTATCGCTATGGATACAGTGTATGATCCTCAGCAGGCACACACCGAAACAAAGAGCGGAGGTCATCACCAAGTTTGTAGAGGTTGCCAAGGTGTGTGAACTGTAAGGAACACCAATTTCTCAGCCTAAAAGACTGAAAAGGGTCCTAGAATTAGTCAGTGGGGTGCTCTCTGGAAATTTGTTTGTGAGATATATTCAGAAACTGTTGAAAGTCATGATTCTGAGATTCTGAAGTTTTTGGTCGTGTTTTTGTAAGTATTTAGTAACCGTATAATGCAGTTGATAAACCCCAATAAACCAGTTTAAAGAGTTTGGTATCCTATGTCTGGCACATTAAGATGGTTTGTGTGCCTTGTTCTGTAAATGCTATTTGTGCATCAAGGAAAAGTGTTTCTCGTATGAACTGATAATTACTAAGCCCTGCATGGGCATTAGACCACATAACCCATTCAATGAAACAAGCCCACAGTTTGTAAAGCTTGTTTGAAATTCATTCCTGTGAAGTAAGTCAATCTCGGTGCGATTTTCAGTCTTGACACGCGGAAAAATTGGGTGTGTGATGTACGTGCATATTTGACACTCGCCTTTTGAGGGGACTGTGTGTAAAAGCAAAGCATTTCAACTGTAAGGATTTCATACATATAGTGGTTCATTTCTCATTAACATTCCAAGTGAGTTGTTCTTCTGCTTGGATTTGTTTGTGTGACACTGCAAAGCAAAGATCGTATAGCGCTGTGTAGCGGCACAAGATGGAGAACTTCACCATGAATACACGTACAACGTTGTAATTGCATGGCCACCATTTGAGCAAGCAATACGCCTGCACAATGCACTTTAATGCAGAGGCGCAGGCACCGCAGCAGGCACGTACACCTGGTGAGCCTGCACCTAAGCATTACCGTAAACCGCGCGGGCATATCGCTTGCTCAAATGGGGGCAATGGTAATTACACCTTTTGGGTAGAGTTATCCATCTTGCGCCTTTGGAGCTATACAATCTTGGCTGCAAAGTCAAGTAAACATTGCCTTGATTAGACTGATCACCTGTAGCCTTGTACATGTGTAGTTTGGCCAGATTACCACATAATAGAACCTGAATGACCTGTTATTCTAGTTGCACTGAACGCATACTCCATTCTGAAACCGGAAAGTAAAATTCTGAAAATTATCAAATGTATGTAAGAAATGTGTGACATGGAAACTTGTGGCCTTCCACCTGAGCAAGAATCGCAAGATGTTTTAGGTTGTGCTTGTCGAGGGAAGTTTTTCTGGTCCGGTATGTTTGGAATTTATTGCCCAAGATACAAAGTCACTACATTCTTTCAGGGCTCTCAGCGAAACAAACCAAAAAAAGGGTTGGTGTAGCTGATAGTGTTTTTAACCATTCTTGGTACTGTACCACATAGTACAGTGACTGGAGCTATCATTGCAGAATAGTGTGCCATCACACAGTGCCTCCATCTGTGTTTGGTAATAGGTTTCTCTCAAATGACGTCACTTCCCTACAGATTGCCACATGCATCCATGCACATGTCGGGTGTCAAATTTTGTTGATGTGCATCAGCTGTACCGTCTTTGACAATATTTGGATCGAAAGTATTCGGATCAAAAAGAGTATCGAAGTGAATATGTCACACACATAATTATCTGCGTAAAAGGCATTAGTGCGAGAACCAACATGTGCACATACTCTATTTGTTTGCACTGCACTTCCTGGTTTAAATGACGTTGAACTTTGTTACTCTATACACATGTGCACCACATGGTGTTGAATACGCAGTTGTAACTTTCCCAAGAAGATGGCGTCCTATGAGAGGGATTCTATAGGCCAGTGATGGTGCCATTGACAGCCTGGCGACAGATCCGTGACGTGTTATCAGGAGTCAACATTGGCAGTACCACGTCCAGATTAATGCATATTTTTGGAACCCTTTTAAATCCACTCGATGTTGTGTTCAAAATCAATTTATGATGCTTTGAATGTAAGAGCTCCCAAAGTACATTACCTCCGTAAGAGGATTTGCTGGATGTAAAAGCTGACAAAGTAAACTGCTTGCTGAAGTCAGGCTTGAATGTTTAGGAAATCCCTGAAATCTTTTCCTCGAAAAAGGGAGGGGGAGGGGCGAGAAGAGAAGAGGTCACTGTCCTAAAGTCTCAAGTCATTGTCAACATTTCTTGTCATATTCATGCAGATGTTAATTGAGCAGTGGACCATGCTACATGCATGCAAACACATTGTAGACTCTTGTTGCTTCACTACTTGCCCCCGAGTGGGGCAAGCCCAGAAGACACTGTATTCCGTTGGCACAGGGCACGATTGTGCATTTGATACGTCCCGTAATACCCTCTCTCTCTACCCTTTCAATGTTTTCTCTCCTGTTCCTACCCTCCCCCTCTCCTCTGCAACAGAGGTTAAAACGCCTGAACAACTTCAACACCCTGATGGCGGTGGTGGGGGGACTCAGCCACAGCTCACTAGCCAGACTCAAGCAGACGCTCGCCTACGTCTCATCGGACACCCAAAAGGTATACTGTATATTATACTGTATGCTGTACTGTTGATGGGGCTGAAGTGTACGTTTTCAGGGGAAAATAACAGAGTGCTTGCCCTTAGTACAATGTCATACAGAATTTCCGAGCAGTCTTTGGATGTGTGATTAGCATGTTTATTTGCCTTAGGATATTTTTTGCTTAGTAATATTGTCCTTGTGAAACTTGCTAATCAAGCAAGTATGTACATGTAGCATTTAACAGTATCAGTGTCCATGTATGCTTATACACAAGAGCAAAGAAGTTTGAAATAACACTGAAATAGAAAGGACTGAAGTAATATCCCCAAGTAGCCAGTATCTGTTTTGGGGTAGTTTGTCTTCCTGAGTTACACCCTTCTGGCAGCAATCACAACTCATTTCCACAATATACTCCTAACATAACAAAAAAAAAACAAATACAAGCAGCCCCCTCAAAATCAAAGAAAAAATAATGATATCTGTTCACCTAGGCTCGTAGTAAAAGTATGGAAAACACTGGTGCCTCTTCGTGTTTATATTTGTGGAAGTGGACAGGGAAGAATCTGACGTACTGATTGATCTCTCTGTGTCTATTTGTGTCACATGCGCAGACGATATCGGAAATGACTGAACTTCTCTCGTCAGCCTGTAACTTCAGTAACTACCGTAAAGCTCTGCAGGAAGCAAGGGGATTCAAAATCCCAATATTGTGAGTAATCCACCACTTTTCCTCTGTCTTTTCCTCTCGAGCAAGTTTTATAAGAGAAGTGGCTAATCGAGAGAGGTTTCTTGCTCACTGTGCAGCATGCAATTTCCATGTTGAGAAGGGAAAAAGATCAAACGAACAAAAATGTAGAAATGCTTAGTATTTGTGTGACACAAAATGCAGTCAGGTTCACCATGTTTCGCTGATAGTCTAGAATATTTGCCACGTCTTGAGCTCTCTACAACCTGTTCGTGTGCTTAAGCATGAAGGCTTAAACTAGATTGTAACCACCAAGGGTGATTTCTGTTGTGAAATTAAAGTCAATATCCATCGTAATATCAAAACTGACTGGTAAACATTGTTCCATCCATTTCAGACTGCCAAAGGGAATAAGAACTTTGTAAGAATGAAGTGCTATTTTTCACTCAAATCACACCCAGTCTGCTGATTCACATGTGTAAAATGTTTTTACGTATTGAAACACTAAAGAAAAAATAGAAATGCTAAACCAAGGGCAATTAAAACACTATTAACATGACCAGTCCCCATTACTGTGTTTTATGCTAAATAGAGGTGATCCTGAACATCTAGGTACTGTAAAACTTTCGTTATTGAGCTTCCAGACCTATTTGGAGTGGAGAGTAGAATGGAGTGCAGCATTGAAACACATACCAACTGAAGAAAAATATAATTTCAAATAACTACATGTACATGTATGGTACCTCAATGTCTAGACTTTTTGGGCGGGTTAATGTACCTTAGCATGGAACTGTATGTATTATATTGGTTGAATTTTTCTTATCAGTGTTTGGATTCCGTGTATGCAATGGTAGCCTCCTGTTTTTTTCTTTGCTGTTATGTATTATATTGGTTGAATTTTTCTTATCAGTGTTTGGATTCCGTGTATGCGATGGTAGCCTCCTGTTTTTTTCTTTGCTGTTCTGTTGCAATCTATGAGGGTCTCTGTTGATGCTCTCAAAGTGACTGTAGAAAATTGAGATGTTATCCGAATATGGATGCAAAGGTTGGAGGGGTTGTAGGCCAGAATTTGTGCTATGTCAAAGTCGCGGATAAAAGATAAGATTGTAATGTTAGAATTTGTCAATCAGGCACTTATCATCATTGGAATGAAGTGTGTCACATCATTTGGCTCCTGGATTATACATATAGTTTTGGTCCGATACCTCACTGGAAAAGAATCTTGGCAGAATTTTATCCATGATAAGAACAGTTCATCAACCCGCCCCTGTCTGTATGTATGTGATGCATTATGTCACTGGCACTTTTTCATGATAGAGGCAAGGCCTTTTCTGCCGCATCTTTGACCAAAGCATGGAATTTCTTGGTAATGGGTCACCCAAGACTTTGTAGGACTTTTCCCCCCAAAGCATTGCCCCCAGGACGAGTCCTCCAGGCTTGTGTGCAATGCCTAGTCAAAAATCATTTGTGAGTAGTGTTATCGGCTCATGTTCATGTACATGATTCTTTTGTTTTCCTCGGATGGAGAGTGGGATTAGGGGTAGGGCGATGGGGCAGATCGAGGTAAGAAGATGACTGTTGGGGTGTTTGTTTGGGAAAGCAAGAATCATGTGGAGTTTTAGTGAGCAGTGATTTTCAGAACTGTAGCAAGTTCTTGAAACGACAGTAACTTGTTCATATCTCGATGCATCTAATTTTTCTTTCTTTCTTTTCCTGCATTGTTTCACCTCTGTGGCTTTCACTTGATAGAGGTAAGTAGACCTGTATTTCTGTTCCCCTCTGTTTTTTGTCACTGGTGGATGGACACGCATACCTAAGAATGTCGCGCTTAAGTCAAATCATCACCTTGATCTTCCAAGAGAATACTGAACCAAATCATTCAAAAATCTTCTTTTTTTAAGTGTAGTGGGTTCATATTTGCATGTATGGTGTCATTGTGTTGATTGCATTTGGTGTGGTCTGATTTTAAAAGACTGGCCGTAATATTCCTAGCAGGGTGATGATGATATGATTTAGATTTACACATTGTTTGGCATAGATGCACTTTGGAGTCAAAGTTTTGAACAGGTTTACATAAGCAAACCAGATCAGTGTTTTTGGTCGCTCTAAAAGGAACAGTCAATCTTGGCATAGTTCTGTTGGTGCAAAAGCACAGTTTTACCATGTCACAATATAAGAATGAGCACAGTCGTATGGGCATTCTTTCACGATGATGCACTCAAAACCTCTGAACAGGATTTCTGGAAATACTGGAATTGATGGTGTAGCAATGCCATTGCTAGTTACAGCAGCAGAGACTTTTTAATATTAAGCACTTTATCAGACCTGTTTATGATTATTACTTGCCTCTCATAGGGCATGTGTTTTAACCAGCAGTCAGCATGACGTCACTACAGACTTTTCACACGGGGCAAAGGAGCAAATTTACCATTTGTTCTATTCAGTAATGTGCAGAAATTCCCGGATTTCCGACCGCGAGAATTTGGAAATTGGTGTCCGAATTTGATTTGAAGCAAAAACAAGGCATTGAAATAAGCTAGAGCCGTTGACTGCATTGACAGCAAAAATGTTTGTGTCACTGCCAATCACTAACCCCCGGGCCCCCCCATGTTTGTTAATAATGAAGTATTTTGTTGAGCAGAGCTCCTCACTGACGTATGTTCTATTCTGAATTGTCAGAATTTGATGATGTCTGGAATAAAATTGTTTTGCAGCCAAAGGCCCGTCTTTTGCGGCATGCATGGTTGTTTTCAGTTTTGCATTGTTTGCCTCAGGGTAACATTCCCTCGAATTGTTGATGGTGATATTGATCGTGATGTTGTCAAAACAGCTGTTAAAATATTGGACACAGAAAACATACAAGAAAGAGGGGGGAAAAATGACAAATTGCCATTTCATTTGCTTTGCATCGTACACTTTAAAAGGCAGTAGAAAGGTTGGTTGAGCTCGGTAAGTCCAAAGAGGGACAGATAAACCTAAAAAAAAAAGGTCTAAGAGAAACTTAAATCTGTATCAGGGTGGCATCATGGCCCAACTCGGAATCTTCTCTTGCTTGGTCATTTCCAATTTCCAGGTGTTCATCTGAAGGACCTGATTCTGCTGCACACGGCACTTCCCGACCGCGTGGACCCCGACGGCCAGATCAACCTGCGCAAGATGGCCCAGCTGGCCGTCATCTTCGAGGAGCTGATGCAGCTGCAGAACACCAAGCCCCCGCTGGAAACCAACATGGATCTGGTCAACATGCTGCGGGTGAGTTGCCATGGCTATACTGTCGCCATGACTATACAAGGCCATTACAGTCAGGCTTTCTTCCAGGTTGACATGTACAACTAAAGTGCAACGTGGTATAGATTCTTGACACTCTGCCGTATCTTCCCAAATCCTTTCGGTCTGCCATCTTTGATGTCAGGCTATCCACACCACGTACTTTGTGGCTCTGCCACTGGGTTTTTAGCACTCTGCGGTAAGTAGCCATAGCCTTTGTTTTGGACTCTACCTGCATCAAAGATGGTGCATTGAGGGAGTTCTTGGGAATAGTGCATACACAATGAAATCACCACTGATGGTCCATTCTGGGTATTTTAAGAATGCTGGGAATGCTTTCCGTCTTTACAGTGCCTTGATAGCCATGCTGATAAGAAATTTTGAAAGATTTCTGATGGTTTTCAGAACTGCTCATTTCTCACTCAGAATCTTTGGGCCAGACAGGAATTCAGCGGACTTTTTTGATGAACATAATACACCCTGATAAATTTGATGAATTGAAACAAAACGTGCTTTCCCGAAATGTAGCTGTAGGTGTGGAACAGCGATGAAACCAAGCTAGAACTGGTTTCATAATTTATGTTCAAATTAGCATATTGCACTCTTTAAATATAATTGTTCTCTCGCCAAGCCTAATTAATTCATACACAGAGCAAGGAGCCGTTGTCCTTTTTGTTGTCATGGAGGCAATAAAAATAGATTCTTTTTAAAAAATGAATAGCCTTTTGACCTTGAATTTCAGGCTTCACTAGATTTGCAGTACACTGAAGATGAGATCTATGAGTTGTCGTTAGCACGGGAGCCCAGAAATTCGACGAGTGCAGTAAGTAAATGGAGAAAACCGTCAGTATTCTAGACCCTCAGAATATAGAGAATTAAATTTGTTACAATAGAATTCCAATTTCAGATGTCTGGATAACATTGCTTTCGCATATTCTACCAAATGAGGTAATTGTAGCCCTCATTGCGCATGTACAGCTTTCAGTAAGCCTCGGGCATGTCAGAAGAACAAAGCAGATATGATCTGTTTTTATGAGTGGTTTGCCTCAAAAAGGCCACAGTGGGGTATTGCATTTTTTGCATGCGTGAACGGTTGATAAAGCAACATTTAGCAAATGAACAGATCCAGGCAATAGTAAACAAAAGTGCTACACGACAAACGTTTGTCATCTTGCCACAGTCAAAAAAAGCAGTAAGAGAGTGATTCACTCGGCAAGAACTAAATGAGATCAGGGCAGAGTGACCCTTTGATTTACTGTGAGCTACCTTGTCGGACGTATTAGACTGAGGGGTTCGTTGTTGCGTTTTGTTGATGGGAGCATGTGCCTTACATGCACTGATTTACCCATGCATTTGCAGGGCAGGGTATACACAAGTTAATCAGTAGCACAGTGTAGATGAGGTGGTGCAGTCCAGGGTTACAAACGGTACCCGACCATTCGAGACAGATAATCTTACAGAATCCAAAGGCACAACCGTTGACAGCATTGATCATTGGAAGGTCACTTTGCTTTTATATTTATTGTTCAGTGGCCATTCATCTCAGTAATTGCATTTCTCCAATTTCAGGAGGGGACAGCTGCTCTCCACATATACAAGAAATATGGTGTAAACAGATGGGCGGTTAAACTGAAATGTCATTTTTTTTGGGAAATCTCCCAATCAATAGACTTCTCAGAAAGGTGCACACCACATGGTGTGCACCTCCCTTCCCGACACAAAAACACATTTATGGGCAGATAGGAACCGTGACTGGTTTGCAGCTTCACTTCACAAATCACCACACATTATGCACATTTCTGACACACGCATAGAGATTAACCTGTGGTTATGATGTTGGAATACAGTGTGGGCTAGCGTGGAAGTGTAAGGTTCAACAAACGTGAAGGAAAATGAAACCATTCAATACAGGTCGTGGCCTTGCAGTTACATGGATTATAGTCAAACATATTTCTTGTAACAGTGCTCTGTTGAACCAGGGCTGAAACCGAGACCGGAGGGTCAAAGCCCATACTCAAGGTCCTGGTTGTTTGTACAAGTATTCAGGAAAAAGGTTAAGTCAGAAATGTCAATGTATTTGTAAAAGGACCAGGATTAAGCCGTAATCCACTCCCTTTTTTTTGACGCTTGTAAATGTCATGCATATAACTTTCGTACACTTTCTCCAGTGAAGGTCTTCGGTCAACTAAATGCATGTAAAGCCATGCTTCAAATTAGGCTGGATTTTTGCTGTTTATTTGCAAATTTGGACAAAGAGGGATGAAGCTGAATTTGAGAGCTTTTGGAAGAAAGGGAAATGCATTAATGGTTTCAACAAAATCGTCTCATTATTTTTCAAAAACAAAAAGCCATCTGGTCCTTTGGGGGTCGGCAGTGGTCCCTGCATGCCCTCTCCCCCCATCCCCAAATGACTAAATGCGGTAGTTGGGCCTTGGGCTGTAATCCAGTGCAAGCAATCTTTGAATACAGAAACTCTGAGTGGGGAACTCACTAATGTAGAAACAAACAAAGTGAAATCGACCAGGTTTTATTTGAATAGCAGCAAATGGTAAAGCCACATTGAAAGGTAGTGATAACCATCTCAAAGTGTGGACTCTAACAAACATAGTTGAGTATGGCTGTTGAATTTTGAATACAGCTACGACTCTGCTGAATACGGCTAAAAGGAGTGAGTCAGATGTAAGAAATCTAGAATTGGAGTAGATTTAAAGAAAGAAGCAACATATGCAGTTGAGTTGGAAGTCAAATCACAATGAAATTTGTTACGGGAAGGAATAAAATGACATCAAGACAATGTAATAATTTTATGTAGCCTAAGTTATTACCAACACGTATGTAACATTGAACAAACAGCGACAGGAACTGAAGTGCTTAAAGGAGTGCAATTTTTTTCCACACTTTATTTGATTAAGTTTGTCACTTCACTTGAGACGTGATTACTTGCAACAGACCAGTGATAGACTTGTGAGGAGATGCAGTGGCCCAATCACAGCTCTGCTAAATTAATAGCCTTAACATCTTGCATGCTCGCCAACTAGTTAGTTCTAAATGTAATTCCTTTTTTATCTGCAGCCATCCACCCCCACTAAACCAGCAGTGTACGCTGACTGGGCGTCAGGAGTGTGCGTCCACCCTGATCAGGAAACAATCACCAAGCATGTATCGGCCATGGTGGAGGTAAAGCAGACTCCCAGTCTCGTGCTTGTCTAATTTTTTTCCCTCCTGTTAAATGTTACCCTTTTTCATAAGCTCAAAATAGTATGTGAATTGTGATTGTGTGGGACAGTGTTTGTGGAATACTCAGTCTCCTCAGCAGCTCGTGGTGAAACAGTCAGATGAGTGAGCCATTGAGTGAGTCAGATACTTATCTGAACCACTCGTGAGTGATGAGTCACAGCATACTTGTAGTCTCGGTGTGAGTGCCTAAGATGCGTGATCCACTCTTGAGTGGCTTAATGTTTACAGCAGTGATGAGGAGTCATTTATAGGAGCTGAATAATAAAGATAAGATATGTATAATTTCAATAATATACATGTAATACCTTTTATGAGTGGCTTATTCTTAGAATGGTATGAGATGAGACGCTTACTGTCATTCACAGAAGCGTGCTCTGCAAATTGGAAGATGTGTTGGGCACTTACGAGTGGTGTTGTGTGAGAAGAGTAAAATGAGTGCTTCATAACAGTTTAGTGTGAAAATGTTATTCCTGAGTGGGTTACTGTGGAACCAGTTGTTAGTGGCTTACTGTGAGAAAGGTTTCAAGGACAATTCATGAGTAACAGCTCTCTTTGGGAATGGTTAATGGCAAGTGAGCCGACTGAAAGTGGCTTCTTGGTGATTGGCCAAAATGGTGGGAGCTTCATTTATGAGTGGCTGTCTGAGCTGCCAGAAATTCCTTGAGCAAGGGTTAAAAAAAATCAGGATGGAACTGTTGTGAACTTGTTTTATTCGTTGATCCGTGCAGACGGTGTTCAAGATTTATGACACTGACAGGGACGGTTACATCACCCGGGCAGACTTCCAGGGTATTGCCACCAACTTTCCTTTCATGGAGTCATTCTGTGTGTTGAATGCTGACAGGTAAGTCCTTTTTAAACTCCAATGTCTGGGTTTACTCAAAGAATGTAATGCTGTGGAATGATGGTATGTTTAGCCCTCACATCAAAGTATATATCTACGCTGTATTCCAAGTGTGGTGTGAGGGGTTGCAAAAAAAATCAAAAGCTTGCTCAGACCAGCCACGTGGTCCTGGCAAAATCAGTTGCTGAATGGTTGAGATCTCTGCGCTTGGTTCAAGTCCCACCTGAGAAAGCTTGTGATTTTTTCACAACTCACTTACCACACTTAGAAGACATGTACGCAGTGGATATGACCATCGGTGCATTTGGCAACACCTATTACGAATTAACATCCCTGATGCAAAGCCTACTTGAATTAGTATCTTTGAAGAGAGAATAACGTGATTTTTGTGAGGGTGAAAGAAGTCAAGTGCCAGTTAAAGAGATATGTCCGAGCCACGGGACAAGAAAGTCCAAGTGTATTAAAGTAGGAAGCTACAGTATGTCAGCTTGGGGAGTATAGTAGTGCATGAAGGAAAACAACACAGGACCTTGTTTACCCTTTTACAAATCCCTTAGAAATCCATTGGGGTTGGGGGAATTTGGAGGATTTCGATGATGGTACAGCTCAACAACTATTACTTTGCCCTGAGGCTAGATTTACCCCTTTATAGTTACATACATAGTTAGAGTGCAAATAACCAGGCTTGAGATCTCAAGTTTCAGACTTCCATCTTAAATCAGACCTTGTGAGTCTAAAACCTTGATATAGTTTTTTCAAGACATTTTCAGGAGAGAAAGGAACGTGGACATTACCCTTGCTAGTTTCAGACCTCCTGTTAAATTGTCAGGCTAACATCCCTGAAATAATAGGCTTCCCATGGTCATGGAAAAGCCTGGAAAATCTTGAAAATCAGGATTATGCAGTAATGGGCTGCTTTTGATGTGATTAGAGAATAATGGTAAATATGCAAGCTATCCTTGTCAGGCTGTAATTGTGGCTTTGGCAGTCTTCCTGTGATAATTATAATAATACTCAGCGACTTTTCTCTGCAAAATAGCAAAAAAATTAAATGTCAGAGAAATTGTCATATTTTAGGTCTGGACAAATTATGGAATTTGGTTTTCAGATTCTGTAGGAACCCTCACAAAGGGGCCATTGAATCGTGGAGTTGTGATATATAAGGACATATGTACTTACTCTTAAAACCAGCTTTTTGATTATTCCAGACGGGAGAAACATGTAAATGAAATTTCAGCAACCTCCGTCTGGTAAAAGTATGAAAAAAAAAGAGTTGCAAAATTTTCATGAATGAAGTGCGAAGTGAACTTATATCCTGGATGTTAGTCACAATGTAAGGAAGATGTTCTCCATTGTGGGGTAGAATTAATGGATTTTTTGGGGGGGTTGCCTCCGCAGAGAGGGCCTGATCAGCAGGAGTGAGATGTGCTCCTACTTCATGCGGGCCCACAGTCTGGCCCTCAGCTACAGCTACAAGCACAACTTCAGCGTCCACACCTACCTGACGCCTACCTTCTGCCAGCACTGCACGGGCCTGCTCTGGGGCCTGATCAAGCAGGGCGTCAAGTGCAAGGTCTGCGGCATCAACGCCCACAAGCACTGCAAGGACCGGCTGGTCATCGAGTGCCGCAGCAAGAAGGCCAGTGGCAATGGGCTGAATGGCATCACCTCCACCATGCAGCGCCGACACACGCTGGACGGGCCAATCAATGCCGCAAAGTCAGGCGGCCAGGCCAACGGGGCAGTGGTCAACCGTCGGAAGCATAGCCATGACAAGGGACACAGTCAGAGTACTAGCCAGCTGAACAGAGGTACATCTACAGTCAATCGACCAAAGCAATTCAAACATGACCTGTCTCTCGAGTCCAAGAATCGCCAACATATTATTCTCTTGTCCAATCTGTTTGGTTAACTCCTTTAAATTTTTCAAGGACTTGTATCACTTGGAAGGCAGCATCGTCAAAATGCATAATAACCAGAACTTTTGTTAGAGGGTATCGTTTATCTCATGCACATAAGACACAGTACAGATCTCCAACCTACTTCCACCACAACTCATTTTTTTCTCAAGGTAAATGTAGCTATGTACTCGTGCTTAAAAACTAATTTCATCCTTTCTATCTGCTTCCTCTCACTAAAGTCTCAATCTCCAAGGATGTAGTGTGGGAGGATCAGCAGCGGCTGAGCCAGTGCCAGAAGCAGATGAGGCTGGTACAGCAGGCCACCCAAACCGAAGAGGCCAAGGTAGCAGCAGTTGCTGCTGCGGCGGCAGCTTCCGCAGCCAGCAGCCCGGAGACGGCCTCCCAGGACTCGGACAAGGACAGTGAGGACCATGGCGGCATCATCTGCAGCGGCCGACGCCTGAGCGAGCTCAGTGAGGACGACAGCAACAGCAGCAGCTTTGGGGACCAGAACAGTGTGACGGGGAGTGACTCCAGCGTGTTCAAGGGCAGCCCCGCTGCCAAACATGAGGAGCTAAAGGATCGGCTGATGACTGCCGAAAGGGTAGGTCCTTACATCTGCCGGTGCAGACCAGCAATTAAATAAAAGTTAGAATATTCCATTCTTTTTGAAGTCACAATGTAAACCTTTTGACAATGGGCAATCTGTCCAATAGCAATGTGTATCTTTCCGACTGCAATGCTTGTTGCTAGTTACCCTCACAACTTTGAGAATTTGGCCAGTCTGGAAATACAAGTTTGTGAATTTACAGTGCAAATATTTGCTATGACGATACAGCGGTGCATTTGAATTTGCTTGAACACCTCTTGGATACAGCCCCTTTAGCTTGTTTTCCCCACTGGTCTCGGCAGAGTAAAGATATCAACAAACTGGGGCAAAAGTGAAGGCTAGTGTCGTAATCCTGTGCCAAAGTGTCACAATCTTGTGATGTCTTCTGCTCTGCAGGAACGAGAGGTGCTGGTGGCCGAGAATAGCCGCCTGAAACACGAAGTGACCAGCATCCGGGAGAAGAACAAGATGCTGGAGAGCCACCTGGAGCTGATCAGGCGGCACACTGTCACCTTCATCCTGGACCAGATGGACACATTGCACCTGCAGAAGGACACGCAGGTCTAAACAAAAAAATAGCACAGCTGCAAGAAAGGTGTGTCTGGGTTCCACTGTGTCAACAAAACTTGTGCACTGGATTGAGGACACCTGTGTCTAGATGTTGGCATTTGAAATACAGCTGTCAAAATATTCAGGTAAACTGGACACACATCTTAAGGGGGCTACACCAGCTGAAGAACGCACAGGTGTAAATATGAATACACAGCATTGGTGTTTGCTGTAAGAGAATCTTAATACTGTCTGCAAGACACGTGTCACAGGGCAGTACGCTTGCAGTGTCAGTGTTTAGAATGTGGAAAAAATAACGTGTCAGCTGTATTTGGTGCTTGAAATCCTCGAAGTACGAAAATGCAATCAGTACGGAAATTTGTAGAAGTTTATGAATTTGAGGGGGTTGACAGGTGAATTAAATATATTGAAGTGTTTACCTGAACTGTGTTCTCATCTGAAAACTGAGCCACGAATGTTTGGTCACTTTCACAGAAAATGCGGAACCTTTGAATCAGTTGCCATCACTGTCGGTCACACATTGTGCTCAAAACTTGGTGTTATTCCAGATATGCTTTGTGAGTCAGATTGGGGGATACTGCATGAGAAAAGAAGGGTGATGTGTCTGTCTGAGGCATGTGAGCTGGCGTGGCGTACATAGTGTGGACCTCTGCACAAAAGAAGTCCACATAATGTAGGGTATGATGGCGTTGTGTGAACTTGTTTTGGGTGTTTTGTATGATTTGTTCGATGTGTGCTTGCGCGAGTATGATTGGAATGAAAAGCAACTCTATAGTTATATTTGAACTGCTGCATTTGTGGTCTGTCATGTGACGATGCCTGTCATGTGACATTCTTTGTACTTGTGCAGAGTTACATGTACAAAGAATGTACAGCTGTGTGTGAGCAGGCGTGGCATACATAGTGTGCACCTCTGCGCAAAAGAAGAAGTCCACATAATGTAGGGCATGATGGTGTTGTGTGGACTCGCACAAATTCACACAATGTTTTCCCCTCTATGAAAACAGTTTCAGAGGTATTTTGGGGTCAATGTCATTTGTGGCAAAATGAAAAGGAACAGTCCAGGAAGGCATCATCAAAAATCCAGCTCTAAGGAGTTATCCTAGTTGGAGAAAAAGGAGCATTTTCCTCAAGTTTCCTTAACCACAGGAGAACAAAGCAATGTCCACACTTTGTATGTAAAACATGAGCTGTGGGGACTCTCTGCTGTCCCCACAGCATCTTGTTGCCCAACAGAATCGGTATTATGGCAAATGTATGTCCCCACAACTACAGAGAAAGTATATGTGGGTAGAGGCCCTCACCAGGTTGTGGGGAAGTTTTCTGTTGTTGGGCAAATTAGGACATAGTTATGGGGACTTTGTGACATCCTCCAAATCAATGTAATGATGAGTGTAAGGTATGTCCCCACAACTATAGAAGAAGTATGTGTGGGTAGGCATTCTCCGCGTTCAGGGGACAAGCTCTTTTGTTAGGGAAATTTGAGCTGAGTTGTGGGAACATTTCTGAGTCCCCACAATGTATTCGGTCCAAACAAAATAGGTGAAATGTCGAGTGTATGTCCCCACAACTACGGTGCAGGAGTGGTAGTACTTCTTCAGAGAAAGAACTGGCAAAAATGGTGCGTGCACTGATTCGTTGCGTAGTGTTGACGACTTATTTTATTTACCATGTGCGGAAACTCAGTGTTTTGGCTTGATCAGGTGCCAGGCACATAGCTGCAGCAGTGTTGGCCCAGCCCCTGTCACTGTTGTTGGGGTGTACATGTACTTCTGCATGGAGCTCAAAATGTACTCTAATGGGAGACTTTGAAACGCTGGTGGCAGCAGACATACCGCTCCTTTTTCATGGTATTGGGCGTGCTCAGAACTATGCACGCATGCTCAGAACAATGTGCGCATGCCCCGAACTGGTAAGACGGACCGGTATATTTGTCGCCACCAAGCGTTTCAAAGTCTCCCATTATCTACAAATCAAAGTAGGTCAAAGTGTTTGGTCCGTGGTTAAATTTGGGGCGTGTTTTTAAGACCATGACCAGAAACATGTTAATGGCTTTGATTATTGGCTGGGCATGTTCGTGGCTGTGGTCATGCCTGTGTGACGTCATTTCTGCGACCAAACGAGAACCAAATGTTGGAGTTGGTTCATCATTGATTCTAAGAGGCAGGAAAAAAGGAAACAGATGTAACTGTTTCTTGCTCTGCCTTTTTTTATACCTCCATGAACATGTTTCCAGTTATTGCTCTGAGGTCATACGTGCAAAACCAAGCTCCCGGTCACCCCCCAGTATGCTTTATAACTCTCATGACAGTGAGAAACGGGACTGAGAGGAATGTGCATTTGGTCAGACAGTGCGTTCTCGTGTTGCAGCGTTGTGATGCTTCATATTGGAGAAAGGTGTAAGTTTGATGCTTGATAATGCTGAGAAAGCGTCAGAACCTCTTGAGTTTTTTCCAGTCTTGACAGGTATGCACCTTGTGAGAGTTTTGCAATTTGACACTAACTCAGGATTCAGTCTCCTGTGGGTTTTTCCCGAATGAGTGACAAATCGTGGGTCTTTTGAAAGTGAGTGACGTGCACTTGCTATTGAGACGTGCATTGCCTCTAAGAAATAGAAATGTGAATGGGCACATGCCAGTTGGTGTTTGTGGGCATTTTTAAATTTGCTTGCAGGGCGAGTGCCACATGAGTACTGGGAAGAATGTAAGTCAAGTCTCAAGCCCTTACAGCTCGTCAGACCAGAGGTCAATCCTTGGTTTCTGTAGCACAGACTTAAAATTATAATTCTATTCTCTTGGGCACACTGGATGCAGTCCATCACAGGTTGCTCCTAAGCTAAAGCCGGTACCCATTTTAATACACATACAGGCCTGTGACCCTGTAATTGAGAGTTACCAGGCGGCCCCAACACTCCACCCACATTTAGAGATATACCACATTTAGAGGTATACCACACAATTTTAATATAGTGGGTTAGCTAGTGACCAATTTTACGGTGCGTCTCAATGTTCAAGAGGACATTATTGCTACATACAAAACATGGCCTCACTTGATCATTCCCCAAGGCCTGAGGAGAAAAGTGTTGCACTATAGTATAGCCTTAGGCATATTTCACAGTAGAGACAGCTTACATGGGCATGGATGTATTTATTGTTGGTCCATTGAGACAAATTCTGGCCATGGTGTTAGCATGCATTTTGCTGTGGGTACTGTTTGCCCTCTACACAAAAGAAATGGAATTTTTAACAATTAATCTAAGCTCCTACCTAAATGCAACCTGAAGTGGGAAGTCAGGTTTTCACAGCAGTGATACTTTCCTCACTTTAAGCTGCCACCTCTGCAACTCTGTTTTGTATCATATCCCAACCGACTTTTATTGGGTTTTCAGTCCCTGAAATTGACTCCATGGGACTTATTGGGTAAATCTATCCGGGTTTTCTCCTACTTAAAACTAAACCCTTTTCTCATCGTACTTACAAGTAAAGTTTCAAGTTGTGTATCCTTCTAACTTCCTAAGTTGCTTCTGATGGCCTGTTAAAAACATCTTGCAGAGATGACATGGCCACCGGTACCATCAATGAATAAAGTTGTTATATAATTATGGTCATGCTCAGTAGCACCATGAAATTGGGTCAAGTGTGGAGGTTAAAGCGAGAAAGGAGGTTGTGTGGGTACGGGTTGTTGACGTGAGCTCTTTGAATCAGCACTTGAGAAGTTTCACAGAATCTGAATTGTGCATTGTATATGTTTGTGCGAGCATGGGGCTATTGACTCCTGCACGTGTAGCCCTGTGGTGACACAGAGGAAGATGTGACTTTGCTGCCAGCTTGTGCACATTCAGTCGAAAATTGGTCACACAGAATCTGTGGTACTGGTACATGTACACACAAAAGCCATGATCTGCATATACTGAATATACTTTGTCCTTCACTTGTTGCTCATGTAGGCCCCACAGCAACAACCACCATCTTGCTGGAAGTCCACAGTCAAGTATGTGGTGCATATTACCATTTGAGAGGGGTATACGCATTTGTTGATGTTTCAAGAATTGTAAAATGGGGCATGCACGAGTGATGGGTAATGAATTCAGCTTACTGTGGGAGCATCGCGTTGTGAGGGTGATGTCCAGATGAGTCACTGATGACAGTGTGATAAATGTGTCAAGTTTGCTGTGAGCTCGCAAGAAGGGATTTGGGTCACAAAACGTGAAGCATGTTGCTTCACCATGGGAACTACTGCTTTATCGTTGATCGGAAGTACATGTAGGCATGTATGTCAAGTTTGTAAAAATGAATGCAGTCATTCATAAGTGATACTCAACTGCCCTCACATGCATATTTGTTGTCATAAATGGGCAGATGGTGTTGAAGGGCTCTCCCTGCAACGCCATTTCTGCAACCTCTCAGGTCTGAAAGAAAAGCAGGCAATCTCAAATGTTTGATTTATTCTATGCAGATGAGTGTATTGCAGCTTTCATTTTTTTTTTTGAATTTGAAGCGATGTAACAAGGCAATTGTCGAATGTTGGGTGAATGTTTGTTTGCTGGTTCAATGATGGCCCTCGAGCAAAAATATTGTATTTTGAAAAACTGAGAAAAAGGTCAACTTTGGAAGGGTCTGTTTCATTTTGTTTCCCTCCAAAGGCATATAAAAAGCCCCAAAACATCCACAAATTAACACAGAGTAAGCTCAGAAGCATCTTGATGCTCTGGTACATGTGTATGCAAATTTGACGCTGTGCACGAGAACAAGTTGGAACTGTTCAGAGTTTTTTGTATGACGCATGTGAGTTGTCTGTGTTGATGTGGATTGTTGAATGTTCCTCATAGTGCAGTGAGAATCGGTGTGACATTGGTTGCCTGTACGTGTGGTTGATGTTCTGTGTGTTTAATTAAAGACATGGCATCCAGTTATTTGCTTTGTTTAGTGGATCATGCTGATTTGATGCAGACTGATGTGCGGGGGGGACCACACAAGTCGACCAGGGTATAGGAACTTGGCATGCCAGATAGAGGAACGTTTAAAGATCACGCTGGCAGATTTGTAGATCAGGGAATGTGTGTTTGTGTGCAAGCGATCAGTGCAAGTGATCAATTTTGTAGGGTTAAGATGGAATGTGTGTGTTCTTATGCAGTAGCCTTTGGATTAAACAGAGACAGCTCTCTGCCTAGGGAAATGTACACGTAAAGAACATGTGTGGCATGCATCTGTGTACACTAGCGTCCAAAACAGTCACATGTACTGATATTGTCAACTTTAAAAAAAAAAGAAAAAAGGCTACAATGAGAACATTCAGTTGAGATGTTAATAAACGGGGAAGATGATTTGGACAGATGTTAATAAACGGGGAAGATTTGGACCGTTGTGCAGGCACAATGTAAAAAGGAGACAGCTTTTATTACGCAAACTGAGAATAATTGAGATAGTTTGGCCCAGGAGTAGCACATAGTGTATGTGTGCATTGGGATATGTTTAACCTGTACAGATTTTTTGCTGGGAGGGGGGGGTTGGACGGTTTCCGAGGGCATGTATAATATAGTAGTCATATATACTTCATTGTAGCTCAGCTGGTCTGGCAGAGGAGTATCACACTATTAATGTGTGCATTGAGGTACGCTTAAACAGTTTGTATACATTTTTTGTCTTTATTTAATTATTCTCCTCTTTTTTTGCTGAGGGTATGTGATGTATAGTGGCCATACTCCGTTGTAGCTCAGCTGGTCTGGGTGATGTTAAATATGAGTATGACTTGTATTCTGGCAGTAAGTATTATCCTTTTTTTTATTGTACACTTAATGATAACTTAAATGCTTTATCTTCCACCTTTGCTCTCATCAGCATGCTTTGTGGTGCCAGGCTGGTAGTCTTGTGAAAAGTTTTTCCTTCCCCCCCCCCAAAAAAAATGTCTGCGATATAGAGTTAAACCTTTTTATAAGAATTCCACGGACGCATTGTACATAAAGGTATTTTGAAAGAGCTTTTTGGGTGCATTATTAAAGCTTTTGATTATGAGGCTACCAGCCTGTACACATTTATTTCATTGTGCTACAAGTATTGTATAGAATTTCATGTATAAACCTGTGTCATGTACAAAACTGTATGTCCTTAAAGATAAAGATATGTTTGCCTGAAAATCAGTTACTGTATAATTTTGTTTCACTTAATTTAATGAGACTTTGAAAGGTGCAATAAATGTACCTGTCAACTTAACTGATCAACACATAAATGTATTAACTCCGAACTTTGCATTTTCTCTTTATGAGGCTGCATTTGAGATGTTATATGGCAGAGACAATGCTGTGCTTTTTTAATAACTAAAAAAAGTTTAAAAGACATTTGGTTGAGTTACAAATGTCCTAATTCAGGTCCAGTTCTGGGCATGTTAAACTCTTCGATTCAACCTGTTTGTCTGCTGTGACATGAAATACCACTTGCAATATGTTATTGTTTAAGCTCATTTCTATGATTGACACGCTACGTTTGTGGTCGTCGTCACTGTCAAGCTTGCAGTTTGATTTGTAAGTTTTAAGTCTATGACTTCAATTCATTTACAGTTGTTCCTCGTACTTTTTCCCCTGGAGGCAGTAGTAAATTTTGGTCTTTTTTTTTTTAGGCGGGTGGGGTTAAAAAAAAGGCTGCCTTACATTCCCAACTACTTTATAGATAATCTAATATATGAATTGATATTGCTTCATGTGGGAAAGACATACAAGATTTGGTGAAAGCATGACGGATGTTGTGAAGGAAATGCTTCGCTGCAATGGGTCTAGTGACGTAGTGTTGGAGAAGAGAACTGGTGTAGGACAGATTGCTGGCAAGATCATCCAGTTGACCTTTGGGGATGTATGTGGGCCTCTAAGACTTTACTTCCCGTAGAAAAATGATCTTTTTCTCTCTTGAAGTTTTTCAATTCTGATTATTTTCTCCACCAATCTGCGAGTGCTGAGCTGTTTATTCCAAGAAGCTTTTGGTCTTCCACTTGAATGCAAAGAAAAATAACTAGATGTAGTGAGCGATGAAAACTTGCACTTATGTGTACCTGAGAGCTAATTGTTACCACATCAATTGATATTTTTATAAGACTTTGGCTCTGTGGGTTGTCTAAGTTGGGTGTTGATGGTGGCTAAAAAGGAATGAAGCAAGGTAACAAACTGCAGAAATGTCCTTGCCGGTACTTTTTCTGTTCACTGAGGAAGACAACTGGGTGTGATATGAAAATAACTGGTTGTCCAAGGCTGCATCCGATATTGCCGGAAAATACCATTTTTGCCTTTTGTGGGGTTTTGATCTCTGTAGAGTCAGTGCACGGGTAACAACTTTGGAAGTGGCAGAGATACTATGGGTATGTGCACTTCCAGCTGGAAACTGGTTGTGCCCATGCGTACCTGGCAACTTCCATGCAACGGACTGGTGGGCCTGTGGCAGGTTCCGCAAAATGCAAGTATCATAAATGGTCACACTGTGCCATCTTGTACTGGTCAGTCCGGTTGGAGTCTGCAACATTTTGATTTGACCGACTCAAAACTTATTGTGCGCAACTCACCTTCAACTTTCATCCTCTCTGTAACATTTTTTTTTTCTCCCAAAGTCAAAGAAAGTTAGGAGTGTTCTGCATTAAGAATATGGACCAAATTGGTGCTCATTTGAGTTATTTTCCCCTATATGACGGAAAACCACCAGTTCTTTCAAATTTCAATGAGTTCAATCCAGCTGGCTCCTGTAATTGGCTAGAATATCTGAATGAATATTTTTGGCATACAAGAAAAAAAAATGGAAACAGCTGAGTTTTATATATTCAAGAACATAATGTATATAGAAAAAAGTCTATGTATATATAATCGAGTTTCTATAAACTTTTGTTTGAATTTAATTTATTGAAAGAAACAAAATTTTGTATTCATCTGACAAACTTATTACCTCAGTGTATAAAGGTGAAAAAGATGAGCTTCATGTCTTTACTTTGGCATGGATCTTTGACATAAAATCTTCAGTTGTTTTGGTTGAAGACACAAGTTGGTTTTAATTTGAAAAAGAAACAACTGGCGGGCAAAGAGCTGCAAACAAATCTATTGAGGTGAAGAGGCTGAAATATGCCATGATTTTATTTGCTTATTTCATATGCTGGTCCTGTGCATGATATGCAAATTTGTATGAGGTTGAGGTTGTCAGTTTTACTGGTTAGAGTTTTTGACTTTTCAATTTTATTCCCAGATTGAAACTAGAATCACAGGATGGGCATTTCATACTTCTTTTAATTTTATCTTCTCTATCTGCATTCAACGTTGTTACTTTTGGTATTGCGACTTAAGTATTACGACTTAAGGGGCCCCTAAAGTTGCTCAAGAGTTGGTGCTGCAATGATGTCTGTCTGCATTTCCTGCTGCTAACCCTCAGCCAAGTCACGTTTTGTCTTCTCCGACAGATTGCAGAGCAGTCACATGTGTGGTATACTTATGAAGTCATGTCACTGTACATAGCAAGCCTGGCTGCGAGTGTGTGAACTGTACCCAATCACCAGCTTTGTCTCGTAAAAGCATCTTTTTAACAAGCCAATGAGCTGCTGGATAGCTTAAGTACAGTGTAGGTGTCTGCAGGAACTGCAGTGCAAAACAATTTTTAATGAAATCTGCTTGTATTTAATGCGTAACTGTACCATAAAATGACAGTGTAAAACTTGAGGTATATACGTATAACATTCCTTTAATTATCACACATCATTGGCAGTATTACAACAATGTAGTTATCCTGTTCAAACTATAATATGTGATGTTTATTTCCTGTCTTTTCTTCAATTGTATTTCCCCTCTTAAGATTGAAAACACATGTATTACCCGCGCCAACTGAGCTGTATATACTTGCAGCTTTTCATTCAAAATCTTTTCAAGCCTGATTTTATTTGGCTTTTGTTCTAATTTTTCTTTTTTTAAGTTGTAATAATTTCAGTGGTATTCACACAGTTATGGCATCCGTGGGATGCAAAACTCCTGGAGCATTTTTAATGCTGTTTTGTGAATAAAACAAATTGTGAATTGACAAATTATACTTTGAAAGTTTATTCCATTGTACCTTTACTGATATAAGATTTTTTCCCCTGTCCCTTTGACTTCGTATAAATCATTGTGTGGGGTTTCTGTTCCAGTTTTTAATGAACCTGGGTATAATGGATGTTAATTAGAAAAAAAACAGAACAGATTTAATCCATTGTCAGGTTTCACTTGTTTTATTGCACTTACACGCCCAAGTTACTCAGTACAAAATGAAGTATTTCCTCTAATATGTTAATTAAATTACTGACAATTTTTGCATTGCATTTACACATGGATAAATTACATAAAAAATATGACGGCGTTTGCATGTGTACTAAGCCAGTCCTCCAAAACAAGAGACCTGTCCACATGGTGTACATTACACGAAATAACCAAGAATGAATGCATCTTGCCTCCCAGAGTTAGTACTTTCAGCACACCGACGGTAACTCTCAAGATGCAAAAATGCACGGCAAAAAAAACTAATGGTTTTATATCTTATGCACATTTGGCCTCTAATGGTGACAATTCAAAAGAGACAACACTATAAACTATCTAGGTAAATAAAGCCTACTTTCTATTTTGATAAATCTGACACACAACACTGCTCACGAGACCCAGTCTGCCATGCACGGAATTCTGTGATATCACATTGTACGTGTACTGTAAATGCACATTGCGCAGTGTGTACGTACACACGTGCTGTTCCACGTAATAGAAATTGGAATTGTATGAAACATTTCATTTCGGTGAGAGTTGATGGAAACCCTAACATGTACCTCTACTGCACAGAGCATCTGCAGAGTTGGAACAGGTTGCTGATGGACATCAACACTGCGCTTGAGAGTGAGATTACAGTGCAAGATGGCTAACCCTTCACGTACAGGTACGCGTAACAAGTGTCACCAGGCTTGAAATCATTGCTTGTGGCGTAATAGAATGCAAACTTAGAGAATCATAATAAAACATTCAGTCAAAAAATTGAAAAAATATTGTTCGTGATATCTGAATTTTGCACCGATTACCTTAGTGACAATGCCAGTATTTTAAGCTTTTCAATATTAATGTTCCTGTTATTTTTGCTTAAAAAATGAATGAAGTGTCCCAGACGAAGCTTCTGTTTTGAGTTTTTTGGACCCATTGGATGACCTGGGGGATTTTCCCCTCCTCTTGAGGCCCCCAACTCCTCCGCCAGACCCAGAGAGACTTTGTAGGGCTCCAGCTCCGGCTGGACTGTGCAGATTGTTTGCAGCCCCTGGCGGCCGTGGAGGCCCTTGCATTTGTTCCTGCAACTCTAGGGCAAAGTGGTAGTCCAGATGTTCCGGGTATTCCCAGGGGGACACAGCCTTGTTGCACTTGTCACAAGTGACCGTGTCTGGGGTCCGACTCGGGTTATTAGTGGAGTCAAAGGCCACCTCGCTCGGTGGCTGCTCTGACTGGTCATGGGCAGGTGATAAGTTCAGCTCAGCCGATGCCACTGAGGTAGTTCCATGCTCACTGACACACAATGTTTGGGGCTTTTCGACGATCTTTTCTTCTTTTGCACCTGACCCTGTTCCACGATCACCTGTGCCCAAGGTTGAATTGGTGTTGGCCAAACTATCAAAATGGCTGTCCTCCATATCTGTATGTTCCATGATGCAATCCCCATCTCTCTTGCTCTTGTGTACATCCAACATCACACACTGGCTGGCATGAATATCCATTTTGTCATCGCCTCCGGTCGGCTCTATCACCTTCTGAATGTAGTTCCTGAAGAAGGCATGTCCGCTCTTTTTCCCAGGTCTCTTTTTCGCTCTCTCTGGGGATTCCGTTTCTGACTGTGGCACTCCACTATTGGTTCCATTGCAGTTGCTGCTGTTGGCAACCACGGGACACCTCTTGTCGTGGGTCTGGTCCTTCCACGGTGTGAAGAAGGCCTGAATCCCATACTTTCTGGCCACTGGAAGCTCCTTGGGTGCGCGGCCCGCATTCGACCCCTTCTGTCGGCTGTCGGGCACAGGGCTGGCACCGCCCGCCGAGTCTGGGCCCCCGTCCTCATCCTCCGTGGCAGAGGAGGTGCAGGGTTGGTCGTCGCTCATCTTGGCCACACTCGTCAGGAAAGTATCCAGGCGTTTGATGCCCGATTTCCCCGTCTGGATCTCGCTGAATTTGGATGCTGACATGCCCAACGAAGTGATCGCAGGCACCCTGAATAAATTGCGGATATGCCCCCGATATAATTAGCATAATATTCACTACCTCAGAAACCTCCACTTAACGCTGATTCCTGACAATGAATATCTTAACCCTAACCCCCTAGGGACCATTGAAATCCTGCATAACCTTGTTCGGTTCAGCATGGTTAGGGTTAATGTATTAGAAATTACCTTTAAAGGTCTGAAAGCGAAATGATAATTTGGACTGTCTTCCCAAGATCCTACTCTTTCAAGGCGTTTTCCCAAGATGACATTCGGATTTCCTGTTGGACCATGGATTGCCTATTTTTGGTAACAAAGGACTTTCACTGCCCAGTTGCTTTTTGTTTTCTAATATTGGCAGCTATGATGTTGGTACTCTGGACAATATAAATATTATCAACACAATATGCAGACCCTCCTGAGGGAAACTTAACCCTAATTCCCTTGGTACTTCCACTAGAAACCTTCCTAAATCCTGCAAAATCTTCTTTTTTGCATGATGGGTAATTCTGTGCATATCTGCTAAATAATTAAATACACAATAAAGCACTGCTTGCAAGTAAGCAATCCAATAAAACAAAAAAAACCAAAACAAAAAATGAATGAGAAGAGGCAAAGGGTACCATGCTTCTTGCTGATTGCCAGCCACGTTGAGGCTCTGAATGACCATGAAGACATCCTTGGTTATGGTAGAGGCATCCACGTGGTGCAGGGCACAGGAACGGCTCAAGCCGGTCGTTGAATTCCCGGTCTGCTGTACATGGACCGACAGCAACTTGGCTGTGCGGTTGTTCTGCGGTGCACGCACAACGAAATGACGGAGGTAAGGTGCCATTCCATACGCGCGGTTTCAATGCGCAGCATGCATATGCGTATCCGTATGGAGAGTGCCCATGTAAATGTCCAAAGGTTAACACCATCTTCCTCTTAGTAACAAAATCAGATAACAAATATGATCCTATTTGTATTTTATATTATCACTGTAGTTAACTTGTATTGCACACATTTCATAGATGTCACATGACATTGTTAGTTACAATGTCATGTTTGACAACTATTGAATTCAAAGATCAAAACGCTGCATGCATGTATATATATGTATGTAATACAATGTACATGTATTTACATTAATTACAGAAAAAAAGAACGCGCAATTTAAGCTTCGGTTATAAAACTGAATAAAACATTTTGTGAAATCCACTTTTTAAAAATATGTAATGCTTTGTCACCGTTTGGACCCAACATTCCTAACAACTGAACATACCAGGTCTTGTTCCCTGACCAATCTCTCTGTCAGTTCCTCAGCTAGCTGACTGATCCAGTGCTTAACCTGAAGCAGAATATATGGAAATTATGAGTCCAAAACCTCTTACATTTTGTGAATGCTTGACATAATCAAGTCTTTGCTTGGTTGCCTCTGTCAATCCAGTGGAGAATGCTTTGCCCTATGCACCTCAGAAGCAGTGTTACATTATCTAATAGAAACACTGTCTTAATGCTCAAAGACTTTTTAAATCATTACGGTGCATCTTTTTCTTCATACACCATGCTTTCCGGAGTTTTGTCAGTAACATCTTGCACTCATTTTGACACCAAGTTTGTGAAAATTGGACGTAACTTTCTCAGGCAGTGCCCATTTTCCCAAGACAGGTCGGCCAGAAATGTTTACTTTTCCACAGACGTGCTCAATGCATGCGTGCCGACATGAGTGTGGCCTTGAACATCAAACAGCCATAACAACAAAACCATATGTTGGATTGAGTTAACACTTCAGCCTGGTGCTGATAATGAGTGTCTTTTCATGCAAGCCAAATTTAGAAAAGATCAGACATGGGAAAACCAAGTTCTTGGGGTCCAAATCACCTGCAGATCCCCGGCTGTGAGTTCAAAAAATCCAGCTCTTTTCGGGTTCGAGCACCCATGACATGACTTTTGGTCATATTCTTTGTGCAATTTTCTAATCATCTTCAAGGTACGTTCTTTTTAGGTTTTTGATAAGGAAAATGGAATCCCCTGAATGTCTAAGCTTAGCTCACTGGCCGCCTGTCATGTACTGAAACAGCATTGAATCACTGAGGAAAAGAAAATTGAAGACCAACAAAACATTTCAGAATACTGTCAAATATGGAAACAGATGTAGAATTAAAGTTTCTTCCAAGCATGAGATGAGAGCATGAACACTATGCAATCTGTGTTACCATGAAAACAGACAAGGCATCAACATTGCTTGAGATGATAAGAGGAAAACCTTAACAGGTATCACAGTTTAGGATCGAGAAAGTTGTGTGTAACCTAGTACCTTCTGTTTTGTGTCCAATGCCATCTTGCCTCTGAAGTTCTTGCCACAGCCTACTGATTTGGGCAAAAGCCGAGCCCTGATTGGTTCGTCGTCCACGCCGCGACAGAGACCATACAACCAGGCACTGTTGCCAAACCAAAGCAACAAGAGTTCAAAAAGTCATTCTAAGTCTTTTGTCAATACTCTCTGGTCTCAGTCACACATGAAGTGTTCTGGCCAACAGATCTTTCAAATAGTTTGTCCTGTACATAATCATGAACTTGCAATTTCCATTTCATCTGTTAGGTAGCAGGTCAATTTATAAATTGAGTGGCCCAAAGTGTGGAAGGGGGGTAGAATTTTAGAATTGGATCGAACACAAACTTACTTCAATTACATATTCAAATGCACACACAAGGAATGTAAAAATATTTTTTCCCTTTGAAAAAGATTATCTTAGTTTTGAAACATCAGGCCCTTCAACTTTTATTTTTAAAATGTTTTAATTTTTGTACATTGTCTTTGAAATGACTGGTGTAAACAGGAGGATAGTTAGCTGTATACACTCATCCAAATTTATAACAGTGAACTCTTTCCGAGCTTCCTTTTCTCATCTTTTAGAGAAGTCCTATTTGCAAAATAGATAACAAAAATCTATATTTCATTAAATCAAATGAAGTCAAAGTTGAATCCTGATGGCTCTTCAAAAACTGGAAACTACCGTTAAGAATTCCCAGTAAAGAAGACATTGTCTGTCTGTATATCATTAGAAATTGCAAGTGTTAGAAATTTCGACAGTTACATATTTGTTGGTAGGTAGGTAGCTTGCTTTCACACAATCATGCCAACAAGGAAGGCATTACAGAGTACAAGCACGACAAACGAAATCATTTGTCAGACGGAACACGACAGGAAAAGCAAAACAGCAAAACAAGCACAAACATTAGAAACATTAAGGAGCTTTTTTGAATACTATGTATGTTGGAGAATCTATGCGGAAAAGCAATTTATATTGGTGATACTGCCTGCAAATCAGCATGAGTTGAGAACATTTCAGCCAATTCTGGAAAACTATGCATAGGCTCACCCCGTTTTGTCGCCCAGTTTGGCCTGAAGCTGTTTCTCTGTGTAGCGGCACAGGTCCCCCATGAACTCGACACCCAGGTCCTCTGTCAGGCTTCGCCCCAGCTTCCCACCTAAATTGCGACTGGAAAAAAGGTCAAGGACGATGATGTGATAGCTGTCGTGATAAATAAAATGGCTGCCGGGAGATGGACACCTCTTGATCCGAGGTAGTTTGAGTTACACTGACTGCGACAGCAGGGAAGCAGGAGAGACGCAACGGATTCTCAGATGAGAACACAAGTGAGAATATGGATACTCACATGCTTCTAGCATTGTTTTGAGTGGAGAAATCTCCCTTACAACTCTGTCAAAATGGGCTTCCATTCAAAGTTCTGGGCTCTGTTCAATCTTTTGTCCAAAACCACAAAACGGCTCTGCTCGACAAAAAAGCGACTTCAAGAATAATGACTCCATGCAGTAACAGACTCAAGAGTTTTCCTTGGCTGCTCAACTCACATTTTGTTGATGGGCAGGGTTTTGAAGAGCCGTTCCACGCTCTGCTTGGGCACCACGGTCTGTTTCTTGGGTTTATGCAAGCCACATGCCAGCTTAGCTAACACCTGCATAAGACAACCAAGGAAGGAGGTTAAAGATACCACGTGTTTCCAGTCAACCAGTTGACATAGATTACAAATGTGTGGTTGTCCCATCAGCAATTTGACAATCTATTTCTGCCAGGGGTACATCTGAACTACACTTCAATTTGGAGTGAAAAAATACCACAGTATTTGTTTCATTGATATTTCTTTTTGGGAAGAGTGTTCTAATTGCTGAGTGCTTTGATAGAAAATTATTCTTTCTCCAAAGGAGCAAAAAGCCAAGTACAATTCTGAGAAGCACCTGACTTCTGCTCAGATAGATCCAGGATTCAGGGGTAAGCCCTACCCAAGGGCATAGTGAGGTCAGTTTGGGTCAGTGATGTGACCATGAAATTGCTAATGATTACCGCTGGCGATTGGAAAGGTGGCAGTAGTGGTGATTAAGGCTGGGAGGGGGGAAGGAAGGCAGAGATCCCGCTGACTGGATATGAATATCAAGCAACACATGCACTGTTTGACGAGGACAGGGGCAAACACAACCTGACTCTAGGCTGCGCTGTTCATCACCTGAGCAAATGTGCAAATGCACAGCAAAATGACTACCACCAGCCACGTCAGGGGGCTTCTGTCATCACTAGCTCCCCTACCATCCTCTCACAATGTCCCCGAGCCTACCTTGTTGTGAGAGATTCCCGCCGAGCAGTGGAACTTGGTCTGCTGCAGCACGGCGGCCCTCATCTCCTCGACAATGACGGCCGCTATGGCAAGCCGCTTGCCCTCGATATCTGTCAGCTGGTCCAGCCACTGAAAGGTACCAGTTCTCCTGGCATCTGTGGAGAGCAAAAACTGATTCTTCTTGGAGGGAAGGAAACTTCAGCCACAACAGTAAACCCTTACCACGCCAGACACAGCACAGTCGTGTAGTGACAGTCTGGAGCGCTTTGTTGCACCACGCTGATTAACAGCCTCCGATTAAATTCCCAATTATTAGGACAATGAGAGCTAGATGAAGTCCCTGAGAATAATGACTCTATGAGATTTTGTGAGGGGTGGGAACGGCAAACTGTGGGACCATTTGACCTTGGGACAATGTTTTGTACTTGTTTATTGGATCTTGTACTCTGCAAGCAAATTAATCACAATGTTTAGTCTGGCAGTGTTTATACCCAAAATCCGCCCTGAGCGGGACCAAGAGACGGCACAAGTTTCCTGGCAACAGAGGCTCCTATGGTAGCAATTACACTTCGGTGGTTCACAAATAATTATAAAATGCACATGTCACAGTCAAGTGGCTACCAACGAAACGAACACTTCCCACAACATGGCTCTTTCCAACAGATGAGGGAATGCTTCTGCTCAAGGTAGATACCCTAGAGGTTTGAGAGTTTAGTGGGCCAGATCCTCTCTAGGCTAGATTTTCACTCGCCTTCTTCAGTGACAAACACCGCCGAGGGACCGTTGCCGCCATCCTGGCGTTGGTCTCGACTACCTTCATCCCGCTCGGCTGCCTCTGGCTCAGCACCCCGTCCATCCCATCCCGCCACGTAGGTGTGAGGCAGCATGTCTACGCTGACAGGCTCCCCGGCCATCTGGGCCAGACGGAGGTGTACCGCCTCGGTCAGATCTACGTAGGCCTCATCAATGCTAGCCCTCTCTACACAGCCGCTGAACTGGGTCAGTACAGTGATAACCTCGGCCCCGGCTTCCCGATACCTGGAGTAATTCCCAAACGGCAGTCTATTCTCATTTTTGAAAGCAGCCAACAAGACTCTGTCAGAGTCTTCTTAATTTCTTCAAAAAGTGTGCTTGCAATTTTTCCTTCAAATACCTTGTGAGGTCTGCTTTGCCTCTATTCTCTGGGACTCTGACCAGTTGGATAGCTGGGCATTTCTCTTTGGCCTGATCACCTCTCATTTGTCTGGTCACTCCATGTGCTCTGGCCTCATACCCCACGGCTATAATTCTGAGACACCAAATTGAACCAAATCAGATTGTTACACAAGACACAGACTTGCTGTAAATTCATGAAATTACATAGATAAGCTATTCCGTATAGATGACACCACAAAGCATGCTGCATGATCTACAAGTAAGCTCAAAATACTCAGAAGTCAGAAAAAAGTAGGAAATTCCAAGCTATGTGATAGACACAAATATTAAAGCATTTGATCAATGGTACATACATGTAAGTTTACATAGTAAAAAAAATGTATCTAATTCAAGAAAAATTTGCAATACTGAAATTAATGTTGGACAATCTCAAAGCAACAGCCATAGGTATCGTCCCAAGCAAAATCTATTTTCAACAGTCTGATGAATTCTTCAGTCTACATGCAAAGCCTGTTCAATAAATACGGTGCAAAATGGATGATTCACAACAGTGTACCTCCGAGCGTTTGCAACGCGTTAGCCAAACACCATGCGCGAAATCTGTCAACGGTTTCCAAACGTGCATTGGGTCAACAGATTTCGCGCATGATGATTGGCTAACGCATTGCAAACTCTTTGAGGCATGCTATTGTGGAATGCCCGTGTTGTTTGGGGAATAAATCTAATTTGTAGTGCCACGGCATGTGTCTAGGAGCGATTTACTACCCTCACAAATTTGATAACACAGTGATAAACGGCAGAGATACATTTTCCTACTAACCCCCCTCCTTGCCAGGTGTTGTACTGCACCACTGCACAGGGCGTGCCCTTGAGCGTTGGGTTCCGTCTCTGCTCCACCTGAACGTAGAAGCAGTCCATGTCAACAAGTGCTACGATTCTCTCAGCCGAAGGCATGTTATGCTGATTTTTAAGGTATGAACCAACAGCTCTGGATTCTGCCTTCTTGGAGAGAGACCCTTTGATATTGCAGATGGAGGTGCATAAATGTAGGCCTACAGTGTCATCTTTTCCTGGAAAAAAAAAGAGAGAAAATCTGAAAATTGTTCAAGTCGACACGATTCATTATAACATAATTTACAAGGATTACTATTCCCAAATTCTAGCTTTGTAATCTACACTGTATATGTTTGACACAGGGCACCAGATGAATGAAGGGTATAGTCATGCTTGTTCTCCAGCCTATCAAGAGGCAGCCTTATCTTGGTAAACAATGTACATGAATCAACGTAAGGGAAGGACGTACCGGCAACTCCAACAGTCCTCAGTCCTCCAACAGGTGAAGGATTGAGGACTGTTAGGGTTAAGGAAAGTAAGCATTTTGTGTTCAATCACGTGGTGTCAAGTTGTTAATGTACTCATCCCTGACTCAAGGAACATGTAAGCCCATTGACCTGATGAGAATGTGCATACTTACCTAGTCTTTTCTGTGCATGTACGTGTACCTCTATAAACATGAAACAATACCATCCTAATTACTCAGCACTAATTTTCTCTTTGTTTTCTACCTGGGCATGTCAGAATGCAACAGCTGCTAGGCTATCCTTTACTGTTACAAATAGAATCTTGGGAAAAAATTCCACAGGCACGCCACTTGACACCCTGGGCACAAACCTCATGAGACTGGTCTGAAAAATTCTCACCTAGTTTCTGAGTGAATACCTCAATATTTTCACTGCCAAATTTGACTTTTCAGGACATGTTACTGCTTTCAGATGGCTGATGGGTTCCTGCAGGGCAAAATGAGTGGATTCTATAAACATGGAATTCTTTGTGAATGTTAATAATGTATAAGTCTTTTTACATGATCATTTGGTGATCGGTGGCACTGGGCACTTGGAGAACTCTAAGTCACTACTCTGTGTGACTTAGAGTTGTTATTTTCATGGTGTCATAATGCTGTTTCTTGAATCCAGGTTTTGTGGTGGTGATCCGGTAATGGGGGGGGGGCCATTTCTAAGATCTTACAATCTGTGACAGCTACAGAGCGCATTACATGTCCATGTCCGTGGCAGAAACAGCGTGATTGTCGTTGGGTGAAAACCTGAGTTTGGTGAGTAAAAATGTCAGATTTGTAAAAAAACCTTGGTGTCATGGTCTGAAACTCCCGTAAAATCGTCTTAACAGGTATAGGTACCTCACGATTGCTCTCATAGGAAAATTTGATTGAAAAAGTGGAGTTTCAGTTGCTGGATCGCCACCGCAAAAAGTAGATTCTAAAAAACACATAGCGTTACAACCCCATGAAAATAACAACTCCTGTCAGTCACACGGAGTAGTTAAGAGATTACTAAGTTGGAACTGGGTATGCTGGGAGATAGGCCAATACACTGTACCTGAAAATGCCTGAAGATGCAAAAGGTCAGAATTGCCAAGTCCCCCAAACATTAACTGTTGGGCAGAGAAATATGGAAGGGCTGGGTAGCAGTGATCAGAATATTGGCAAGAATACAATATAAAATCAGTGCTCTGAAACATGTAATTGCCGAGCTTTCGGTAGCTGAGTAAGTCTACCTCCTTCAGGGCCTTTGCAAGTTGGATTATCCGATCGTTATTTGGGTACCCAAACGTCGACGTTTTAACTTGTTGCATCTAGACCTATGCCTCTGTTACTAAAGAACAGAATGAATGATAATCGATGGGGCGAAGTGGGAATGGGGTGATGTGACCTACCCATGCTACCGGTTCATGGTAAAAGAAAATTCACTGCGGAACAAATCTGCAGAGATCTCCTAAAATTAAGAATTGCCTGTGACCAAATGACGTTGTTTGAGATTTGAGATGAGAATTAACCGAGCACGCAGGGCATAAAGTGTTAATTTCTCACCTTGCGTCGACCTTTGTCATGAGCTCAAAAAATCGCAAATCGCGCATAAATGGCAAATACAGCGCCCTCTGCTGTGCAAGGTTTCATTAAAAAAAATGCCGCAAGGTTCGCATACGGTACGGTACGGGTACGGGTCATAGGGAAGTCCCCCCCCCCCGCAAAATGGGGGATTCGCGAGGGAAAGCAAAATTATCGGTGTAAAATGAAATAAACTGAGTAAAAATGAAGTTAACAAATTGCAAAAATGCAAGGGAGCGGTGCCAGCGGCGGGTGCCGGTGGGGAATGGAGGATTACGTCGGTGCAGATTAGTGTTTCATGACATTTGTTGATGAAAACTGCAGGGCCCCAGAAATTGGGACTTAAAGTTGAAATGCATCAATCATGAAAATTTGCTTGACTTACTGGTCAGCTTGTTTCCGGTGCAATGAAACGTAAAAGAAAAGGATTGTGCCCAATTTTCACCGTGTCAAGTAACAGTCGTGAAAATTTTGCCCATCGTGCTGTTAAATCAGATAACAGTTGAGAAACTTTGCCTAATTCGGCAACAAGTGGTCAAGAAATTATTTGCTAACTTGTCACTGAGCCACTCAGGCATCGGACAGTCACGAAACAAGTGCCTATCTTTGTACACCACACTTGAGAATCACTTACCAGTTTTTCAATGAGCCAGCTACTTGCCAAACTTTTTGTCTGTACCAGATTAAAGATTTAGCAAGCTTTACATTATGATATTTCTGTCAGTCGCACCACCAAGTCACAAATCCTGCATAATAGTTTGCGACAAAATGTATGGGGCCACTTGTATTTTTTTCTTTGCTACTCTGTTTAAAGTGTTTTTTTTTTAAGCTTTTCCTCCATTTTTTTCTCAGGTTCATTGCATCAAGTTGGCTTTGTGAAATGGATGAACCGTACGTTAAATGTAGGCAAGAATTTTGTGACCGTTAACTGACCCAGTGGAAAGTTGGGCAACTTATTTTGTGACCGTTCTTCGGCTGGCGCAGTGGAAAGTTAGGGCAAGTTTTTCTGTCATTGACAAATTCGGCTGATTGTCATTTTTCAAGACCCTTTGACATTTTGTTCCTTGGGTTAGCTCGGTGTTACTAGCTGGCTCAATGTAAACCATCAGGCAACCGTAACTTGCCTGACTCTTGCATTTTGAATAGCTTGCAACCGTTTTAGTTCTTTTGGTTTGCTTTTGGTTTGGGTTTTTTAAACTCAAATAATTCATTCTCAGTCAATAGGCCGGTTGAAGTGAGAAACAAAGGTGAAGGGACAGACAACATTTGAAAAATACTGTCTTCAAACTTGTAGAGGATGTAAGCATCCTGGGAAACACTGGAGGCAGGGAATTCCGGAGTCCAGTGCGTGAAGAAACTTACTAGAAGTTTGGGATAGCGTGCGCGTCGAGTCGCTGAGTTTTTGATACACGTACAACCCATTTTAGTGAAACCCTAGCAGTCTTGTGTGTAACACTCTTTCCAATCTTATCGGTGTGAGACGGATTGAATTGGAAAAGAAGAGCCTTTTCGTGCCTTCGTTGAAATAACGAATAATTTTAAACTTTCCAAACATGACCTGTGATTAGCCAGGTAAGAATAGAAATAATTTGTATTTTGATCGCTTTCCTTAAAAAAACACGATTTTTTCCCGAGCGTTGATCACTCTGTACACTATGTTTGCCGCCCCCTCTTGGTAGCTAGCGCTAGTGTTAACACTGTCATAAACTCCGTCATCATCGCATCATGCATCCCAATTGCAGGCGTGACGGTGAAGACAATTCGGTTAGACGTCTGGCGCGGATTTGACTGATTTACACTTTCTTATCGATACAGTTACCACCACTGTGGCAGAGTGAGTATTGTCGACCTTCTTTCACTATACGATTTTCATTTGATTCCTTCGGACCATTGGGATTATGGCCAACATTAAATGAACAAGACGTCTTTACCTCATCAAATGCCAGGTGGGGCGTTTACATTACAGTGGTCATTCGTGCTGCAACTTAGGACGGGCAACCGCACGGGCAGCACACACCACGCGTGGGCCAAGCACAGAAGGGAAGCCTGCATTCGGGTGCCATTTGCCCACTTGTACAAAACCCGTGGACCCTGTGGGAAGAGTTCCATATATGGACGCCAGTAATTCTTCCCTACATTGACTTAATAATAATAGCTATCAGAAAGCAAAAAAATGTCTAGAAAAGTTCAGTTTAAGCCTGGTTCATACTTCACTCAAAAGCAAATGCAAAGCGAATTTCATGACGCCAACAATTCAAATTCTATTGTGATGTGTGCCGTTTCCCTGACAAATTTGCTTCGCATTTGGTTTTGCCTGAAGTATGACCCGGCCTTAAGGAGGGAAAATGCCTAGTCGTTTACTGAGAAAACACTTGGAATTTTTCAGACCAGTCTTATCGGGTTTGTGCACAGGTTGTCGAGTAGCGTCCGTATATGGAACTCTTTCCAACCCTGTAACAACAGGCAACAATTGTTTTGTCATAACATGGTCATAGATTTACAAGTGCAAGAGAACAGACTGATATACCCTTTATGGAGCAATGCATAAATTTCATTTCACTGACATTGCCTTTACCAACAAAGTGTTCAGTTGAACAAATTCCAACTTAATTAAACAAAAATTGATGTAAGGTACATGTACAGGTGTATCATCTTTTGTCTTGACATTCCCGAAGAAATTTTCCAGTAAACTGTCGGGTCATGGCAGTTGGTCCCTGATCAGTCAGAGACAAGAAAACAAGACTTTGAAGTGACTTCATGCTGACCAAGAGACTGTAAACACTAAAGTATAAGACACCAAATTTTACGGTGCTGCTAAGCTCTTATTTTTACACTAATGGGCTCCCAGGAGGAAAATCTGCTTGTTGAAACTTGGTGATGTGATAGTGGAAATATCTATGCGCAGCAGTGTGGTTTTTGTGCAAAGTACAGCAATCATGACACGTTTGCCGTGGAATACGCTTACAGTTATTAAGCGAATGTTTGTGCTATTAGTAAAAGAATCTGCTTAACCCCAAGCAGCACTACCCATGTTTCAACCCCATAGCTCCAGGGGTGAAATGTGCAGCTGTAACGGCTGCCTTCAACCTTCCAATTTATTTTGTTTTTAATAATATGTGTTAACATTTACTTCTGAATTTGTTTTGTTTTTGTCTCTGTTTGTATTTTTGTCGAGGTTAAATAAATAATAACAGGGTAGGAACTTCACGGAGACATCGGAGGCAGTTGTCTTGATGCCCATTACAAATGTCCCCATAGACAAGTTGATTTTCTAATACAACTTACATACAAGTGCCCTTTGCAAATGAGAAATTGCCTTGCCCCTCCAAGAACAAAGGTCCTGCCCTGTAATGATAGTAATGGTAACCAACATGGTTGTCAGCACATGTACACATTGTCTTTATCCTGTCCTACCGGTCCTGTCCTACCTGGCTGATCACCGCCATAGCCTAGACCACAGCTGACATTAAAGTAATAATATTTTTCTGCTCTCCTCATTGAAGATGATCCCAACATTGAATTGTGTGTCCCTGAAACATGTAACGATGTGTACATTCTTACTCTTTACATTCATTGAAACATTTTATGCAAAATGCCAGAATCCATCTTTATACAAACTTGTCTGCCTGTCAGTCACTTCATGGCCCCTCTGAAATACACATTTTTAATTCACTAACTGTTAGCCTAATTGGCAGTAATTTATGTGAAATAATAACAGTCAATACATGCATGTGCCTGAAACCTACACAGGGGCAGACCTGGAGTTAATTGTATTACATAATCTGATTATGTCCTGGCTCTGTGGAGTTATACATTTCAAAAGGATTTAATTGTGGTTTACAATAGCTTTTTGTAAGGACTGTGAACAACAGTATAAGTACGCGTAGATGTAAAATGCATGTGCTCCATGCATTTTCAGGAACCTGCAATTAATTATGGACATGAATTTCCAGAAGTGTTTTGTGCTCATCTGTGCATCACTGTGTATGTTTGGTACTTTTTAATAAAAGAATTTAGTTGAATTGAAAATCTTGTACACTATTTAATCTTGTCGTGTTTATCTGTTAAACAGATACAAAGCCTGCTGTTAAATTATGGAATAATTTTTGCCGGAGGTTGCATCAAGCCAAGGGTTGGGTTCATTAGTTCATGTGTAATTGTGCATACTAGTACATTTATAAAATGTTCTTGGTAAACCCTATATTTGGTCAAAACGTAGGAATACTGAGCAGCGTTACCACTGTTGCACTGCGAATGTGCATGCATTTTGCTAGAACTGCATTGTTTACTGCATTGACATGTACGGCATACAGACGTGATTGAAACATGTATTTAGTACCTGACTGTGATGGTATTGACTACTCCTCTGAATTGGATTTCTACCGGTATTTGAAAATTGCCCTCCCCCCCAAAAAACCCAACAAAACAAAACAAGAAAAGAAAAAAATTCAACACACCCATTGGTTTGAATTTGCTGTACCAATCTGTATCTCTGAGTTTTATACATTCTGGCAGTAAAGTGCATTCACCCAGTAACCTTGATCTCATGCCCCAAGCTACAATGCATTTAGCTGGAAAAACTGGCATTAATGCTATTCCATTTCAATTCCCTTACAGATCAGTGAGTCACCACTGTAAAACTGGAGGTGGGACTTTTTAAGTATAAAACTTTCAGAGAAATTGAGTAGTGATATCAACTAAATAAGTATGTCAACTCTAAGCGTGTCTCTGATCCTCTTTTTAAATTTACATGCATGGTGACAGGATGTTTGTTCCTCATTTTTAAACCATTTGTTGAATCTTGGGGGGGTGTTTGGTCCCGGTACAATTTACCTAAGTGTGCAAACAAATCAATTGTGATGATGTGATACCTTTATACACGTAGAGTGCATGTGCATGTCAGTGGGTTATAATTTTTTTTCACTTGAGCTTTCAGTTACCTGTAGAGTCAGAAAACTAATCAGTTTTTCATTTAATTACATGTAACTGAATACAACTTTGAAATTTGACATTTTTATCAAAGTGTG